CCCCCCCCCCCCCCCCGCCCCACGCAGCTCTATTCTGCTCTGCCACAGGCCAAAGCAACTTCTTTATTCATTAACCAATAAAAGCAACACATATACAGGACTTCCCACATCTGTAGACCAGGCTGGTCTCAAACTCAGAGATCTGCCTGCCTCCGCCTCCCAAGCACTGGGATTAAAGGCGTGCGCCACTCTTCATCTGTGATTCTTACACTGCTACACTGCACTGTCCCACACCAGACCATAAGCTCCATGGGCGCTAGGTATATCTTACTAACTTCTGGTGTAATCAGTGCATAGCACAGAGTACCTGGTACAAGGCAGTGCCAAGCTAAGTATATTGCTGAATGAATGTAATCTTCAGCACCCAGACATTAGTGAAGACAATACTTACTAATTAGTATCAAACTGCTAATCAGACAAGAAATAAAAACAGGTAAAACAAACGCCAGGTCACTGTACTTGAGTGAACAAATTAGAACCTGAGGTGGGCCTTAGACTTTACTCATCATCCTGGAATGATATGAGTCTAGGTCTCTGCTGCATCAGATAAAAAAAGAGACGAGAGAGAGAGAGAGAGAGAGAGAGAGAGAGAGAGAGAGAGAGAGAGAGAGAGAGAGAGAGAGAGAGAGAGAGATATGGATGGGGAGGGAGGGAGGGAGAATGCCTCTGAGTGACATTATCGGTGGAAATGTCTGCCAGGTTCTTTCTTTGCTCTTTAGTCTCTTGGGAACTGATGCTATAAACGGAATACCTAAAGCACACAGACCACCTGAAGTCAGCATCTTTTGAGGGCATTTGGTCATTGATTTGATATCCAAACTAGGAAATCCCATTCTTTGAAACCTTATTTTCTACATTTACATACTTGTCTGTGTGCTTATGATGTGTGTGGATGTGTGTGTCCACCAAAGAGCTTATGGAAGTCAGAAGACAATTTCCAGGAGTCAGTTCTTGGCTTCACACTCAGGTCCCAGGGTCTGACAGTACCATATCTGCTGTGTTGTTTGGTCAACCAAAAGACCTCACTATTTAGTATCTTTCTTCTCTCTTGCATCACCATCCTTAATCTGTCAATTCCTCAGCAACAGAAAATGCTTCTAAAATATTTCCAAAAGCAGAGAGACAAGAGTTGGGGTTCTGAAAGTGATATGATCATTTCTGTTCCTCTTGGTTCTTTATTCTCATTCGCCCTGACTGTATCTTACCCCCAATCTCTAGAATCTTTTATCTCTGTGGTGTGGGAGAATTGTTATATTCTGTCAATTATGTTTTAAATAATCGCTCATTGGCCAGTAGCCAGGCAGGAAGTATAGGCGGGACAACCAGACAGGAAGTAGAGGCGGGGCAATGAGTATCTGGGAAGGAAGCTCTTTCCCCAGTCCTATCCAGACACCAAAGAAGCAGGATGTGACCTGCCCAGCTGAAAAAGGTACTGAGCCATGTGGTTAACATAGATAAGAATAATGGGTTAATATAAGTTATAAGAGCTAATAAGCCTGAGCTAATGAGCCAATCAGTTTATAACTTATGTAGACCTCTGTGTGATTATCTTTGGGACCTAATGACTGTGGGAATTGGGCAGGACAGAAACCCCAACAAGCAGGCCCTCATGCTGTATCTCTGCTTATTGAAATTTCCATTTGTCTCTGTTCAAGTATTTACAAAATATTCCTGACTATCCTAACTAGAATGGAATCTGTTCCTCTTAAAACCCCTCCCAAGCCCCCAACTCCTGGGTAATTAACAACGTTTTCCTAATCACTGTAGGACATTCTATCTAAGAATGTTTTAGGTCTTTGTAACAATCATCAGGAAAAATAATAGCTTTTATATTAAGCTCCCAGGAGTTCCTTTTACTTCTAGCCTGTTTGTGAAATCTTTTTCATGCCTGCTCAGCAAAAGAAGTTATACATTTAATTTATCAATTTAGTCACACTAAGCACAAGAAAGAACCCTCCTCTTGGATTAAAGAAGACGCAAGAACATCAATGTCAAATCTACCTAAATCTTCAACCTTGTGGTGCAAAAGTAACTGATGATGTATCCCCCCACCTGAAATCCTTGCCAAACCCCTATATTTAATAATATATTATTATGTTAACAATTATATTAATAATGTATTAATAAGTATTATTAATATAATAATGAAATATTGCACCTAGCTGAATTCTACTTGCTCTTGAAAAGATACATACTTTTGAGTATTAAAGGCTTCCAAACCTTGGCTTTACAAATTTATGAGATTTGGTGTATTAGCAAGCAAATATTACAATGAAAAAAAGGATACAGGGTTTTATAAAGGTGTTTGGTTTTGTTTTAAAAACCTGAATCACTTCCACAGATCTAATATATTAGCATTTACAGTGGCAGCAAGTCCAACATCAGGAGGGAGATCTGAGAAACCCAGGATACTCTTCTGATCCACAGGTCACACTAATGACCTTGCTCCCAGGGCAGAAAGACTTGAATAAGATACTCAGCCCACAGTACCAATTATGAAATAAATCTTTCCATAGACATTACTTTGGTTGACAGTTTATTAAGTACACTACATTTATACTTTATTGTTTAAGTTTTTTAATCATTCACACACGGACTTGGTAAAAACATATTTTATAGAAAACTAAGATGAAAATCAGAACAACATATTGCACACAGATAAACTGCTGAATCATTAGGAGTTTTTACACACGCCCTCTGTACAGGTGATCAAGAATTAGGTGGTTTGATTTTTCTTAAGTGCTGCACCAGACTATGACTTCAAAAGCATTAATGTTGTGACGCAGACACAAAAAGCATCTATCAAAGAAATTAATCATCTGAGAAACACTGTTTTCTTTTACATAGTTTTCTAAACTCACTCTTTATGACTGGCATTTCTTTTTAGAGAACTTGGCTGTACAGACTGATGAGGCCCCAAAAAATGATTTTCTTTAAAAACAAACAAACAAACCAAGAGCCTATTTACAAAACATGCGAAAGAAGAGTGTGTAGGTGCCACTGCAGAACTAGCTGAATGCAGATCAATAACAGAACAGGTCCCTAAAACAGCATACAATGCAAAGACAGAAACAATGAAGTTTGCAAATCCTTTATATTTCCAGGTGTTGAGACAATATATGTGAATGCTGAGGTTACCTCTAGCGTCGAAACCAGAGCCAGCTATTAAGCAGCCAGAATGTGACAGTAATTGAATACATGACCATTTCTCTTTTAGCACGTTCTTTATTCTCCTCTTCTAGAAGTTGCAGACGTCTATTTAATTTGATTATCTAGGTGAAAGACAAATACAAAATAGTACTAATGCATACAGCAATCAGATTTTTAGAAAATAGTACATTAACTTGTCTAAGAAATTATTACATAGGAAGTTCTATCAAAATACAACTATAAATAGAAAATAAAATACTACCTACAACAGCTTTAATTGACTTAAATATGCTTCTTCATTTGCATTCTATAAATGTGAGTTAGGGAGTGCGTGTAAGGACACTGTTGCCCTACATTATTTTGGCAGGAACATGAAGTGTGTCAGGAGGGTCTATCCCACAGAAGGAGCAGAGGATAGCCGCTCTTCTCTCTGCCTCCTCCACGAGTCTCAGTTGTGTAGTCTTGGACTTCGATAACTGTTCTCAGTCCACTCTAATACTTAGCCCCAATGACCTATAATAGTGGGCCCTCTGATATGCCACTCCGATCTTTATTTTATATTTGGCAGACATAATGAGAACACCAAATATGCCTTTCCTGCATGGGAATGCCTCTATGTAAAGACAGCAGGAATGCATATGAAAAATAATCACATAAGAAGTACAGTTACAAGAGGGGGCTTATGGGCAGGGTCATGAACTATGTATGTAGAGGCAATGGGAAAACTCAAAGCAGTGGTTTCTAAAATGAAGAAATTATATACAGTAACAAAGGTCCTTGTGACTGTGTACCTATCAAAAGTAAAACAATTCAGGACTAGATTGGTTTATTACTACATCACGATTCTTTGATACTGGCCTGATTATATCAATCATTTTGGCAGCAATGTTTTATGTTGGCCAGAAAAATTTGAATGATGGCTTAACAAATCTCTAAAGAATCTGAGAAAAATCAAATATGGCTTACTAGATAGCCTGAATTCATGGGATCCACAGGAGAGAAAAATCATAAAATTACGTAAACTATTACTCTGAAATATTTCATGAACATAAGTTTAGGTTATATTTTATTTGGGGTAGTAATTACCTGACGTCTTAATGAAGCTGCATCTACCATAGCCATGTCGTCTGACGCTCCTTCAATGGCTGCATCTATGCTTGAAATGCCATACCTAGCAGATAAGATATTGAAACACAAATTAAAAATTAAGAGTAATTGTTAAGTCATGTGTTGTGTCTTATACTACTCAACGAAGTATTCAAAAGACTCGTGCTTAACGATAAATAAGCATTTCTCATGTGAATCGACACAAATAAAGGAAAGTAGCTTAAGCTGACTACCTATGATGCTGGGTAAAAAGGGAAAACTCTTACTGGATACTTTTTTTCAAGGCAGAAAAATGCAGCAATGTTAAAGGAAGGGTTCCTGTTTGAACGGACCTGAGAGTCGCCACTGTAGGACACAATGACACATGAGAGTTATGTATGAGCCAGGTCCTCAAGACCTTCTGTAGACAGAGACTCAATGGCGGGGAATGCAAAGTCAACAACAGAAGACTGATAATTTATTACTCTTCCACTTCTGCCTGCCTTTCTTTGGCTATTTTTTACTTTACTTCTGATTTCCAGATACTTTTTATTGTATTCTCCCACAAAAATGAGTGATCAATCTTTTAAATCTCTTGTAACTATACTACAAAGAATCTCAATAAGCCAACAAGAGGCTGCATATAAAATAGTAATGCTGGGAAATCACCAAGACAATGCAGAGAGAAAACACTAAATGGTACTTTGTGTTAAAATGCATTCACTTCCAAAAGAGCACTGACTTGGGAATATAGTGGTATTGCAGAGATGGAGTCTCACATGACTGGTCTCAAATTTGCTATGTGGCAGTGGACGGCCATCAACTCCTGATCCTCCTACTTAATCCTTTCAGTGGTGGGGTCACAAACATGTACCAAGCCTGACATAAAATTTGAAAACCAAAAATTAAAAAAAAAATGTAGAAATGCCATTTCTTCCACTTGTCCGGGTTTCTACATTTTTAAGAAAAGAATGTGAAATGTGTGTGTGTGCGTGCATGCATGTGTGTGCGTGCATGCGTGTGTGTGCGTGTATGTATGTGTATCTGAGTATATTCCACATGGGTACATGAGGAGGTCAGGAGACAGCAGTGGGTCCCCTGGAACTGGAGTTACTGATAGTGATTATGAACTGTCCACATGCGTGTGGAAACTGAACTCGAGAACTCTGGAAGAGCAGCAAACACTCTTAACTTCTTAAGCCATCTTCCGAGCACCAGGTTTCTGTATTTTAAAACTCATTTTAATGAACACTTTTACTGAGATATATTTTATATACAATACAAATTTCTTTATATGTGTGTCTACTTTATATTCTATATGGTTATTTTAGTGAAATAACATGGTAACCTTTCTACAAGGGTAGACGCTTAACTAAAATTAAAAGTTACTCTTATGTAAGCCACAAAGAGTTGGCACATGAATCACCTACTCCAATATTCCCAGCAACTTCTCATTACAGAACCTACATAACCGTACATAAAAGGACATGAAGTAGAATTAAATATCTCATTCAGGCATGCTAATATGCCTATGCACAAAGTTCTACTGCTTCAAATGTTAATACCACCTTAATAAAGCATGCAAAGGTAAATGTAAATAATCTACAGCAATCTCTGACTCGCATTTTCTCTTATGGCTAGGTCAGACTGTTCATATTAGTCATGCCTTTTCTCTTAGAAACAATGTGTCTAGAAATATTTAAAATAAACTTCACCAGTTAGGAGAAATAAACTCGGTTTCTAAGTAGACAGTAGGATTGCGAGTTTATAAACTGAGCAAACTACTCATGCACACTTAAAACAGAATTATGAGGATTAGGGGGTTTAGCTCAGGGGCAAAGCACTTGCTTACCTGTGCACATCCCTGGGTTTGTCCCCAGAACCACAATAATACAACCTGGCCCCACAAATTATTAAATATTAGTGAGGAAAATTATGTGTCAAAGATCTTTTCCTTTCTATATTTTATGCTCAAAATAAAACTTTTCTATTTCCCCAAGGTCACGCATGAAATGAGTAACTGGAGGGTTATCAAAGTACACCAGCACCTGTATCAAAGGTGAATGCAGGGCTGGGTGATGCTCAGCCAATAATGCTTACTTTCAAAAATTGAGGACCTAAGTTTGATCTCCAGAACTCGTGTCAAAAAGAAGTTGGGCATGGTGGAGCATCCTTGTAATCCCAGTGCTGGGGAGGCAGAGACAGGAAGATTCCTGTAGCTTGCTGGCAAGCCAACTTAGCTCAATCAGCAAGTTCCAAGCAAAGTGAGAAACCCTGTCTCAAAAACCAAGGTGGATAACACTTGAGGAATTACACCCAAGGCTGACCTTTGGCTCTCCATGCATATGCACTTGCAACCACACAGATACTTCCCATCCCCCGCCATATACAAAGGTAAAGGAATAGACATGTTCATACACACACACACAAACACACACACACCCCACAAAGAAAACTAGTCTTAAAGAAATAAAGTATACATGAAAAGTTACCATTTTAATACTAAGCCAGTTTTAGAAATCTAAAGGTAATTTTTATTTGTAAAAAAGTTAAGATTTCATCATCAATTTAAAACAAAAAAAAGGTATGAAATTATTTTAAACTAAAATTGCATCTCTCAGAACTATAAACTCCACTCACTGAAAACACCTTCTCAGAAAAGTTAAAGGGATTAAAAACCAATAGAAAACTGTCAGGGGAAACCAGTGTGGCCTAAATTAAGACACAGAAGAAATGGGTAAGCACAGTGGCCAGGGACACCAAGGCAACATAGATGAGATTAACAAGACATGGATGGTTCCCTTTTCTCTTTTATAACATGATAGGCTCTTCTGAAGAAGAGAAGAAAAGTTAGCACAATTCTACTTAAAATTGGTTTGGAAAATTAGTAACAGCATCAATTAGTGACAGCATCTGTCTTCTGTGTCCTTACAGAAGACAGGGGAACTCCTTGAAGGTTATGGCCCCTAAGACCACATTTGTATCTGCCACTCCTTGTCCCTTCATGACTTGGGCTTAGCATATCTAATAATATGAAAAGGGTAAATACAAGAGACAAAGGCTCAACTCAATAGGTGAAGAAAAGTTATGTACATAAAACAAGATTTAAGATTATATCTTTTCTATTTTAACAAAATCCCTTATAAATCTACAATAATACTGACTATAAAGTATATTGGGTATTCTTACTATACCATGCCATATTTTGGGGGGGGGGAGGGAAGTGTTGAGACAGGGTCTCACTGTGTAGTTCTGGCTGGCCTGGAACTCACTATATAGAGCAGGCTGGCCTCAAAATCAGAGATCCACCTGCCTCCGCCTCTTGAGTGCTGGAATTAAAGGCATATGCCACCATACCCTATCATAATTTTTATTATTATACAATGTTCTCATACATTGATGGACAAATGTCAGGACTAATTACTGTCCCCATTCTTAGCAAAACACAAAATTTCTCGTAAGAGAAAGCTGCAGAGGCCTATGTTGTATACATGTATACAATCATGGTTATGGCATGCATTATGATGTCCTACACAATACAAGCTCCATCAAATCTTTGTGTCCTTTGGTAATCACAAAGTCTCCAAGTTACCTGACGTTGTCATGATGAGGATTAGAAGTGGCGGCAGCTGACCCACCACGCAACACAGGTCTAGGGCAGGTTTTTGCAGAAGACACAAGACAGAGTCAGGAAACAGAGTACAAAAATAAAGCAAAAACAAGACAAATAAAAGTCAGATAGGATTATATTGTATGCTTCAGTACAATATAATATCTCTCAAATGCTTTGAAAATCTGTTTCATATGTCCTTCCCATTTTAAATGATTTTCATAATTTAACACTTCATGATTAAAAAACTAAAGAAACAATATGGAAAAATAGCACCAACATATGGTGCTATTTAAAAAGTGTAATTCCTCTTTTCCAACTGGAAAAAATGTAGCCACTAGCCACACTAAAAGCATTATCAAGAACCTGTTAGTAGCACCTGCATGATTATGGTTGTCATAAATATAAACTAGGAATTTAAAGAAATACCCACTGCACACAATTCCTTCCCTAGGGAGTGTCTGAGCTTGACACAACCACAAGTGACATACAGGGCTGCTGCAGGAGGACCAAGTGCACTGGAAAACTTTGTGGGGCTTTTCATTTAGTCTCAGTCCATGTCTGAGGTCAGAGGACGGTCAGTCTTATACCAGGTTAAGGTGGAACCTTTCCAATTAAATTTGTTAAAATCAAGAAACATATTCTAAAGCTGCACCAGTGAACTGTCTTTAAGATAATAATCAGAGAGAGATGAGAAGAGGTTCTGTGTATGGACATTCTTCTAAGCCAGCAGGTTTGCCTCACTGTATGTATACTGACAACCACCACAGGGTTTGAAAACACATGTTCTATCTTTTTCTGATGTTGTAACAGTTGTGGAATATAAACCACCATTTTCTTTTCTGCCTTTAATTTTTTCTTTTTTTTTTTTTGACAGGGTCTCACACACCACAGTTTGGCCCCAAGTTATGTGGAGTTGAGGATGGCCTTGAACTTCTGATCCTCCATACCCCACTTCATGTGGAGCTAGGAAGCAAAGCTTGGCCCTTTTCAATGCTATCCAGCACTTCCACTGATCTACAGTCCTAGCCCTATACATGACTTTTTTTTTTTTTTTTTAAACAACTCAGTTTATAAAGGAAAACTTTAACATTGAGTTACTGCATGCCCTCAAGTAACTATATGCACCAAATAAAGATATATTTGGAGCGCAGAATAAAAGGGCTTAAGAGACTCGAGGGAGAGAGGTTTGGCTATAAAACCTCTGCTCGCTATAAAACATGCTGAAGCATACATTCTTCAGATAGGTTTTTAAGTCTTCTAGTTTGTGAAGAAAAACTATGTACTGCAGTTACTTAAATTATAAAAATATGAGAATGGCTAACGAAATGAAGCCACTTCTGTATATTTCCTAAAGGGTTTTAAAGAGTGTGTTAATATGGACAAAACGATCTGCCATATTGAACATATTCCACCACAGAGATTTCCCTTTTACAAATGCAGAGCGATAAACAATACAGTTACCTTTCACAACGTATCTCATTTTGTCTTCTCACACTGGCAATTGATACATATAATATAAAAGTAAATTAGACAGGTATTTGGCAAAATTAGAAACTTAATTCAAGTACCAGTTTCTATCATAAGAATGATTTAATATTAAAAAATAGTTCAATAGTGTATTTTGTAGTTAGAATAGCAAAAGGGAAGGAAATCTAAGACTATCAAACTTCAGTATTAGTTTGTAGACTGACATTTTTGAGTAAATAAATGGTCTAAATTAAGAGAATGCATTTCTTTTCTACAAAATATCAACTATTATAGTAATTAAACAGGCTGATTGGAGGACCAAGAATTAAAAGTTATAACACACTTCACAATACTCTACGAACTGTAGTGGTCCATGTTACATATTTTATGGATACTTGCCAAAAATAGAAACCTTTCATATATTGGTTTCTTATTCCACTCATTCAAAATCTAGTACAACCTGCTAAAGAAAAACTAAAAATAATCAAGCCACCCCCCCTAAAAGCTTATTATGCACAACTCACGTATTAATGCTTAAACAATGTTTTACATGTAGCAGACTGAGTTCTCTAGAAGATGTTAGTATCTTACACTGAGAATGAGATGCACAGCTCTAGCAAATATAGAAGAGGCGGGCAAGCGCTGCCCAGCAAATGACAAATCTTAACAGTGCTGCACTGCTGCCAGCTGGGCAGGGAACACTTGGTGTTTTGGCCAGTTTCCCAAATGTTCAGCACTACGTGTTGTGTATGGACTTTTGTAATAGCACCTAGGAAGTCACTTGGTTTACGTGCTTAACTCTGTTTAGATTACAGGAACCAAGTTCACCAGAGGAAGAAAACCCAATACAGCATACAGTGGCCACTTAACATACAAATTAAAATGAGTTCATATGCTGGGAAACTATGAATCTGCATCATTTTACAATAAAAAACAAACAGGAAGCTCTTACTTTTTTTGACAAATAGTTCTAGTTTAAACACGCTACATTTAATATGCAGTCCCAAGTGCAAAGATATTGTATTAACAAAATAGCCAAGAGCAATAACACAGAAAAGAAAAAATAATGAAAGCAAGGAACATAAAAGCGCTGAACACTGTTTATGAAGTCTTAATTTATAATCATGCAAGTGGAGCATTATCCAAATTTCACATTCCCATTTCTTTGAAAAATTAGGCCAACGTCTTCCATAGCAGAAATAAAAACTGACGTGACATTTTAAATTCCGATTAAGCTTTGTACAACTAAAACCGAACAAACAAGCAAACCCTCTGGGTAATGAAAGTACTCGTGAGACTGAGGAGACCCCAGGAGCTCAAAGATATCTGTGTCTCCCGAGTGCTTCTGGGATTAGACATATGCCACCATGTCCAGCTCTTTCTTGATTTTTGACTCAAAGCTCTACTCTATGCCCTAGGTTGGCCTTGAGCTCAGGGTGATTCTCAGCTGCAGACTCCCAAGTGTTGGGATTAAGATGTGATTCACCACATCTAGTTTCTTCTTCAATTTCAGAAATTTTATTTGGGTTAATATTATAATTTTGAAGTTATTATAATGTAAAAATAAAATATAAATTCACTTAATGTTCTAAATAGTTTCTCATAGTAAAAACATACAAATTTTACGCTGGTAAGATTCAGAGTTTGTATACTTGAACTTTAGGCAATTTTTTTTTTCAGCGTAGAGGAAAAAAATTCACATTCCCCCAAGTGCCACATCCCTGTATCTGAGCTGTGGATGTGCAGGCAGGAGGAGGGAGAGTAACAGTGGACGGTAACTCTGTCACTTAGTGATGATTCACCTACATATGATCTAGACATTGCTTTTCCATCCAGATATCTTCAGTACAATAGCACTGGCCATGTAAATTCTGACCCTTAAATGTAATCTCTTCTAAGGAGTACTATAACGAGAAAGCTAAAGAAGGTATCTGGTGGAGAAAAAAAATGGTTTGGAAGAAGAAGGTGGAAGCAGTCTTTATCAATCTGAGCTCCTAAGGCCAGTGCTTTCTGGATCTCCTGCTATACCAAGAAAGCAATATGAAGCCATCAGTCCACATTTTAAATAATGGTGAAGGGCAGAAGATTTGTGTCAATAATCTAGTTAGCCAAGTATAATCCCATCTTCACCTCTTCTCATCAGATGAAGAAACGGAGGCCCAGAAAAGAGACACCAGTTATATGCTTAAGGCCAGCATGCAGTCAGCTGTTGAGTGGCAGAATCAAGAATGAATCTGAGAGATTCCCTCTATCTACACCATTCCTTCTGAACCCTGCTGCTGCTCATCGCTTCCAAATAGGGTCCACAAAGCTCCAGAGAGCAAAAAAAGGGACACAAACCCTTAGAGGAAAAGAAACAAACCAACAACTAAAAAAGTGTATCTCTATATACATACAGACATAGATATGTACAGTAATTCGTTCCTAGTGCCATAGACTTCAAAGCTTTCTTCACTACAGTGTGAAGTTCTATGGCCCAGTATGCACCATTCTGTTAACCTTGGGAGACAGGATCTGGATCCAGAAGGCCCTGGATCAACAGCATGGGTAGCCCAGACACCAATGGCACAGGCAAAGAGCTGAGAGGACTAAAGGCCCAGCAAGAACAAGTTTGTTCTGAGCAAGCCAGAGATTCCTTCAAAAATGCAAACACTAACAGTCTAATAAAATGAAGACAAAAATGCAAACACCGACTTTCAAAGCCACTAGACCAATGCTGACAGCTGGAGTGAAGCTTATCTGACTTCCACATGATGTCAACAAAGCTCTGGGACTCCATCTTTCTAAAATACTCCGAGTTAATGAAGCGAGACAAAGGTATTTTAAACAATGGGAAAAAAATAATTTTTAAACAAACTGAAGTATAATTCTAATGATATACCAAGAGATGTTCAAAAGTGAGGTATTATCTCTGAATATACTGAAAAATACTAGCATTATCCAAAAATGGTAACAGCACATAGAATTCTAGTATAGGCCTAGAATCCAGAGCTAATAGAAAAATGTACTGGGAGCTACAGCAACATCTCCTGCCTTCTTCACTACTTCACTAGAACAGAGAATGAAATCAAAAGACTGAAGACAATTAGTGTGCTCAGTCCCACAGTCCCTTCACCATGTCTCCAGGTGGAATCAAGCACTCAGGCCAGCAAAGCTTTTGAAAAAAGTTGGTGCACTTCCTACGTGCAGAACAAAATGCCTTTTACAGCTGAGGGAAAGCCAATATAACCTTGTGAAATGTGAAGTTTGGACAATAATTTCAAACGAAAGGAAAGCAAGCAAGCCATTTCAAACCATTGCATCTTAGAAAGAGACTAAAAGGAGCAAACAAAAAAGACAACACCACAGTCCACTAAGTAAAAAGCCAAAACAGACGCAACAGAGCAGCAAAGCCGCTGATGGCTAGTCACCTGCGATTTTCATCCAGCACATCCAAGATCTGCTGGTAAGCCCTACGGGTAGAAGACTGGATAAGCGACAAAATGCCACGGGCAGAGGAAAGACTAGCTCCATCTTCAGGTAGCATATGGGGAGGACAGACCCGAGTCTGTGGCGGCGATGGTGTCACACTGTTCACATAAGCACAGCAAATGAAGAGAAAAACACTCAAGTCAGATTTTCATAAAACTTCAGCAGAGCAGTTTTTAAATCTGATTTTTTGCCCACATTTCCCACCCTCACTCAATCTATCCTAAGAGAACAATCAAGCAGATGAAGTTAAAAAACATTTTGAATTTCTTTTAAAAAGCAGCCATGACGCAACACCAGCAGGTTTGTAATCCTAAGTATCAAACTGAGCGGAAAGAACAACTGGGAGGGAAAGAATTCAGCAATGAGTGTGCTCAGAGCTTGGTCCAGGAGAAAGGAGGCATGGTTTATTCAGAGTCACCCATACACAGCAATTCAGTAAAGCAAACACCTGAGAATCAACACTGCCACGACTCACAGATGATAGAGTGGGGCCCAGGATTCTGTATATAAATAACATCTAAACACATGAATCTAGCATGAGGACATAAAGACATCGTTTCAAATACTTTACAAAGACAAGGAAGCACGCTGAGTTTATGATGGGCAATTAATTAAATCATGAGCTAAATCCTCAAAAAACTGTACTTGCATTTTGATTGTTTAATTTAATCAGCTAAATGACTAAAACATAAAACTTCCCAGGATTACAAAGGGAATACAATGAGGGAAGACAGGGCATTTAAGTTACCATGAGGGTAGATGAACAACTATTTCTTGGCTTCCCAGCTACAACAATTCCTTCCTTAAGAGCTGAGATTCACAATTTCTTTTGGTGTACTGAGCATATTTAGACAGAGCTATTTGTACAGTTTTGGCCTAAATTCTTTTTTTTTTGGGGGGGGTGGGGTGGGTTTCGAGACTGGGTTTCTCTGTGGTTTTTGGAGCCTGTCCTGGAACTAGCTCTTGTAGACCAGGCTGGTCTCGAACTCACAGAGATCCGCCTGCCTCTGCCTCCCGAGTGCTGGGATTAAAGGCGTGCGCCACCATCGCCCGGCCTTTGGCCTAAATTCTTAATATCTGTGTTGATATATTCAGAGAGCTGTTTAATATTGAAGCCTGAGACACGTAACTGACCCATGGACTTGAGATTTTCTCTTTACAGAAAGCTGAGGCTCGATAGTTTCAGGCAGCAAAACTCACCAGGGTGACCTTGTTTTTAAATTTTGTCTTCCTTTGCTTCTTGAGACAGGGTCTCATTCTGTAGCCCTGGTTGGCCTCAAACCCAGAGACCTGCCTGCCTCTGCCCCAGTGGAAACTAAAAGCGGGAACCACCAAAAAGAGGCTATTTTTAAAATAAAACAAAATCTCTAAGTTTAGGAACAACTTTCAATATCTTCATGATCTAAAGAGAAAAGTGCAATAAATATGAAAACTGTACTTTTTTTTCCAAAGACTACTTAGAAGAGAAAAATCTAAGCTAAATCCTGGCATATACAGAAATTCTAGAACTTAGCCTAATGATGTCAAGACAAACTGATGTTTTTAAATGCCAGTAGAGACTGGAATTCTTCTGGGTAAAAATATATCAATGTATAATCACACACACATACACACATATCTGATATATACCTATATGTAAATATCAATGTATAATCTTATATATACCTACATACACATATAAAAATACCAATGCATAATCTGATTCATAGGACTTGGCAAATCCCACAATAAACAGTCTAGCACAGCTGGGGAAAAAAAAAGAAATAGAAGTAAGCAAACAAAACCCCCAGAGCAGCTGAAGTGCGGCCTATGTGGGGCTTGCACATAGACATCCTCTAGACAGAACAAGACCTCAAGTGCCTATGTGCAAGAAGCCAGGCTGAGCGCCAGGGATGGGACTGTAAACTTAAGTCTGTGTCACTGTTTACTGCATCCTGGAAATATTGGGGAGTGGGAACAGGGGGTAAAGTTGAGGCTCACAGCAGAAAAACTCCTAGGCAAGTCCCCCTTGGGGCTGAAACACAGATAAATTGACAGAGATGGAAAGACAGACCGATATTACAATAGCAGAAAAAGGAAATCCCAATGTACACCACCTCCACTGAGTTACAGGTATGGTAAGATGACAATTCTTGATAAAGCCAGCAGCAAGACTGGCCAACTTTCATTAGGCAAGTCTTACATTAGCACTGTTTCTGTTTCTGTGATTTTAGGGTCTACCACAGCATTTCTATATAGTCCATTAACAAGTATACTAGCTGTAGAATCAGTGTATTATTTATTTTTAGTATTTTGAATTATAATCTTAAAGCATTGATGTCAATGGATGGGTTCCAAATTTATAATAAAGTTTGATGAATTTTTTCCATTAAAATATAAAAACATAAAAACAAAGTTATCTACGATTTAAATTCAGAAAGCAGGCTGAGAACATAACTCACTGGTAGAGTACTTACTTAGCATGACTGAGGTGAACAGATGGAAGGAAGTGAAGGAGGGAGTGAAAGAAAAAGCAAGAAATGAAAGAAGGAGAAAAAGAAATCTCAAATACATACACAGGAAATGAAGTGGTCATCTTATAAAATAGTCAAGCTTAAAGTAACTTCAAATTAATGGCAAAGAGTTCTCAGGATGGAATGAACAGAAGGTTGGATTCTAAAATAATCTACAAGTCTTCACTATATTCTTAATGATAATTTTAATGCATATAAGGAAAATCAATCAATAAAAATAAATTTAAAATAAAAACATCTACATATGTCTTCCAATTCTAAGATTCTATGACCATATGAAATGTGATATGGTCATAAACAAGAAAAAACTTATACAATATCTAACTAATTTAACAGAAATATTTACATAGGACAGTAAAAGATGAAATAAAGTCCTGCAAAACAAAACATCTTTAAAAAAAAATTCCCCCAGTGCCAGGGACAAGACCCAGGGGCTTATACATGCTAAGCAAGTCTGTCCTTTATTGAACTACATTTCCCAGATCATGACATGAAGTCATTATCAATACTATTAAAGATATGTGATTAACCAGAAAACAAAAGGATTTTCTGGCTGTTCCCATTTAACTTCTCACTCGTTTACAGTGCAGCTCACGAACAGAACAGGAAGGGTCACTTTTATGCTGATTAATTATATTGTAAAGCAAAAAAAAAAAATCTTAATTAGAAACAATAATTTAACAATTTTCATTAGGAATTAGGAGAATAACTTAGCAACTTTAGGTATTCTTGTATGCATTTTAACCAATATATTTATTTCATTGAAGACAACAACGACAAAGAGAATAATGCTACACTCAAAGGAGTTCTAACGTCCTCCTACTGGAGCAAACTGTGAAGGGACAGAGTGATTCTGGAGTTAGGTTTTTACCTCTGCCCACTTAGTTACATTTTTGTTTTTATTGTTTAATTTTGACTAGTCAACTATTGTAGAAAATACAAACATATTGCAAGGCACTGAAGTCAGGTCTTTAAACAAATACCATGTTATGCATAATTTAATAAAATGCACTTTGATAATTACCTGCTTCTCATGTTATAAAACAGCAAACTCAACTTTAGTATCTCACACAGAAGCTTTAAAGTTCTGAAGCAGCACTTGTGCTCACAGACTCTGACACACAGGGTTAAACAGACAGTGGCTAGTCAATGTCAGAACTAAATGAAAATCAGTGACTTGGAGCAACTCATTAAAAGAAAAGTTTAAAGCAGGAGAGCTCTTGCCATAGGTTTTCATAGAAATGATGCTTCTCAAACTGTGAGGTTAATTAATGTCTTTGTTGAAGAACTAGCCTCTTTGAAAAAATAAAAAGAAAAACATTTTCATTGAAACACAAGTTCCCATTAATTTCTCTGGGACCATTATTTTTATTTTTTGGAGACAATATCTCAGCATATAAATCCTGAACATAGCTTATGTCTATCAGGCTGGCCTTGAATTCACAGAGCTCTCTACCTTCCTCTGCTGGGATTAAATGTGTGTGGCACCACACTTGGCCTCTCTGGGACCCTAAATAGAGAACTATAATTTGCTGCTACTATGACTCGAAGAAGTATAGCAAGAAACCAGGGGAAGAGATGACCAGCCGTCCGTGTGCAGTGTGGGAACAGCGCTGTCTATTTGTACATGCATGTGTGTGTGTGTAAAAGCCGAGTACTGAATCTAGACCCCTGCACATGCTGCTTGAAGTTTTACACTTCATACCAAAATGTTCCACTGTCAAGAGTGGGCAGTTATTCTTAGACACTGTTTGTCATACTTATAGAAAACAAGAGTTTAGTGATCTCAAAAGATTGCTCCAAACATAATTTTCTATAGGGAAACAAAATAAAACAAACCAACCAACCAATTTTAATGACAAACCACACTTAAGATTTCATTTTTCTCTAGATTAAAATAAAACAAGAAAAAAACATTGAAATGTAAAAACATGACTGGGATTGCTGAGCAATCTGCAGAGGACGCATAGGCCAACCAAAGCAAAATACAGAACAGAGAAAAGGATTTGCTCTTTATGTACAGAAATTATTTCATTTTCCTTTCTTCCATATCCCAAACCATATAAAACTTCCTTAGAGTTGCCCCCCAGTCCCAAAGAATACAATGACAGTTTGAGAAATCCTGAACAAGTATTAGAACAGAGAGTTAGGGTATTATGTGTCAGTTACGTGGTAAAACAGATTAGTATTAACATGAGCCTGCAAAATTAAAGCAACCCCTACTTGGGAAAAAGAGCAGATAAAATCTTACGTGTACTCCGGTGCAGAAATCGATGCCTGGAACCTTGAAATTTTATTTCTTGGGGCAGAATCTGATCTGTGCCACCTTAAATAATAATTACGTTTCTTTTACATATTCAGCTTTTATAACAAGAAAATGATTCTACTATGATTCTACTGTCACAATTCATTTTTGTGCCAACAATCAACCTCACTGCTTCTTAAAAGTAATTAAGGAAACAAAGTTCCGGCCCATTTAAACTTTTCTTCATGAGCTGTAGAATAAACTAGATGGAGGCAGACAAAGGGTCAGCGTAATAGTCTATAATCAATCTAAAAAAATAGGTTAAAGTAGGAAGAGCTCAACAATTTCTGTAGCAGATGTAACTAGCTGTATGGATAGTTTCTTGCTTACCAAATGAACAAAGCCCATTTTGTGCACATCATACAAAGACCTAAGGTTAATTAGACATAAGAAAGCTCTAACTAGGAATTTAGTTATAAATAGTAACATTAACAGTGGTAGGAGAATGCGCAAAATATCAAAATCTTTGTTTTTATTAGATATATAGAAAATGCCATAAAGGCAATTTATTTATTTATTTTTAAATATTTATTTATTTATTATGTATACAATATTCTGTATGTATGTCTGCAGGCCAGAAAGGGCACCAGACCTCATTACAGATGGTTGTGAGCCACCATGTGGTTGCTGGGAATTGAACTCAGGACCTTTGGAAGAGCAGGCAATGCTCTTAACCACTGAGCCATCTCTCCAGCCCCCCCATGAAGGCAATTTAAAGAGAATAAAGTATTGATTAGCTCTTAACCTTTGTGTTACGAGGAACTTACATATAGATCTTTTTCCTTTTTCTTCATCTAAACTTTGCCATCAATACAATATACTTTGTAAAAGGTTGATATAATACTGAAGTAACCATGCTTTAATTTTAATGATATAAAAGGTCAATTAAGAGCCTAAACAGCAAGTCACAATTTAAATAGTAGGAAAGCCTCCTAGAAGATTCTGCGGCCTTACAACTACACAATTACACATAGAAGGTAACTGAATTAGAGCTGTTTTATCCACATTAGCCATACGACTAAACTGTGGAGTCTATTTACTATGTGTATATTTGGAAACAATTTTAGACAGATGTGTTTCATGGGTCTGCTGACATCTGCCAATAAGATACCTTAGAAAAGCAGACACTGAATCATTAACGGTTGAGCCTTTCAGATACTCTTCCATAAAGAAGACATATGTTCATTTTAACCTTACTCTTCCTGTGTGATCCTTCAGGATAACTCCAACTACCATGAGAGACTCTAAGTCATCAAAGAACTCAATTTTTCTTTGCATCCACATAAAAGAACAAAAATTTCAACATAGCAAACAAAAACTTACATTTGGGATACAACTTCACTGATTATGTAGAGATGCCAGTGAATTTGTTCATATGATTTCTTTCAAAGAGAAGACAAAAACAGTCTTCTTTCAATTCTGATTATTAACCCCAAAGAGCCCATTCTGCACCATTTTGCTCTGCAGCGAGGTCTCAACTATAACTTAATATGGTATACTGTAAGAACACTAATTGTACTGTGCTCTAGTTATTCTATAAACTCTCAAAAGAGATGTGTCATCGCTGGATGTTTGCTGAGTTCCCAGAGAAGCTAACAGGATGCTTGACATCACAAAGGGTTCCTGATGAGTTCACGAAGACTGACCAAAAAGTGAAGGAGAAAGAATATTCAGTTTCCTTAAAAGGGACAGACACACAGAAGAGGAAAACAGGACTGAAAAGCTGTCACAACAGACAAAATTCTGTATAACTACAGAAAGTACAGTACAAGGTGATATCCATCGATGTAAAACAGATTTTAAAAACTATGAGAATTATTTAGAAAAAGATATATACAGACAAAATACAGAAGAAAATCTACAATGACCTTTGCTACAAACAAAGCTACAATGCTGTGATTCTACTCACATGGAGTCGTTTCTGACCAGCTGTCCATTCTGGCGAACAGCATTCTCGCTCATAGAACGTTCTCTTTTTAGCCTGCCAACTGCTCGGATCTGTTAAGGCAAAATCAAAGGGAAGGAATGGAATATTCTTAGTAGCTTAGAAGCTATTTAGCCTTAAAAAACACAGGAAACTTCGTCCAAGACTACTCATAAAAATACAAGGAGCTAAGAAAAGCCAACCAAGAAGCAAAACCTGGGCATTACAGACAGGTAAGACTTGGTCTTAAATTTTCTTTTTCCTTTCTCTTTGTGTATATGTGTGTATCTGTGTGTGTGCTGACATCAACCTCTGGCCTCCACATGCATGTGCACATGCATACCTTTTAAGGTTAACCCAAAAAATTTAACAGCCATGATCAAATATATTTTATTCATGCATAGAGAGTACTACTGTGTTGGTTTATAAGAATCTGATTGGGACTTGCCTGCTTGCCTGCCTGCTGTAACAGCCACGGCTGCTTTCTTTAAAATGGAATAGCTTTTCCATAGGAGAGGGATGGAAGGGAAAAGCTGCTTTGCTCCAGGCTACTCCCTGGAAGTTGGGTCATAAGCCCTTTTATGTCTAGATATACAGTACACAGCACTAGAGACGACACACACAAGCATTAATAGTCTCCTCTAATGTATTCAAACTCCAAGCAATATGCATAAACAACAAAAGCCCTTTTATACTTCTATTTACTGCTTCTCTAGACTTGTATTAAACCCATCACTACTTTAAAATCTATTCATTTTTTAAATGGTAGCTTAGTATTTTAAAATTGTAAAATGGTTTGTACAAGTTACAGAGCAATCACAGGTTAAGAAAAATCAGACAATAGAGTTAACAAATGTAATGACAAAATGTTGAGAACAACAACAACAACAAAATCTGTTTTAGAAAGACCTCAGCATTTTCCCTACACCCCTTTTTAAGGTCTTTGTTTTAAAACAATACAGCAAAAGTTGGCCTGGAAATTGTGATCTTCCTGTTTCAGCCTGTAAAGTGTCGAGATTACATGTGTGTACTACCCCCTCCAGGAATAATTCTTGCTCTCTCTGGGACCTTGACTGGAGCAATGGGGAAAAGTAGGAGGTTGTGGAGAGAACACCTCGGGTGGACATCTTCCACATTGCAAATATGATCAATTTCCAAAACTTAGAATAACTAACAAGGAGAACAGCTGAGACAATAATTAAGGTTATGGGACGGAGGCACGAGCAATGTGTCACTGTGAAGAGGTCTTGCCTATGACAAGGGTATGCTGGCTAGTTTTATGCCAACTTGATACATTCTAGAGCTATTTTGGAAGAGGAAACTTCAATTGAGAAAGTGCCCCACAACTGGCCTGTGGGCAAGCCAGTAATACATTTTCTTTACTGATGGTCACTGTGGGAGGTGCCAACACAGGGCTGTTGGTTCTGGGTGCTACAAGGACATAAGTGAAGTGAGCCTTGGAGAGCAAGCCTGAAATCAGCACTCCTCCATGGTCTGTATGTTAGCTCCTGTCAAGTCCTGTTTGATTTCTTCAATAATGGACTGTTACATGGAATTGAAACAAACCATTTACTCCCCAAGTTGTATTTGGTCACGGTGTTTAACCACAGCAAGAGAAACTCAAGACAAGGGTGCAATTGGTAGCTAAACAAAGACTGGATGCATGTGAATCAATTATCCATGGGTGTATGTGCACAACATAAAACCACAAAATCGGTTCTCATTTTAACACTTTGCTTTTTCTATTCCTGGCCTCCCAGCTCCTCTTCCCATGGATAACGGGGAAGAAAAGAGAGTAAACAATTTGTCACTAAATTGTAATGAGATTCATATGCATGAGTTTTCTGATTTTATTTTTAGCCATTGCAGGACATACTGGAGCATGCACTGGACACCTGGAAGTCATCATCATCAATGAATTTATGGGTACACTAGTGTGGCTTGTTATACTTCAGGTCAGCTATGGTCTGCTTCTCATCTCACGGTGGTTTTATCAACTACATTGGGCCATCAGAGGGTACTGATAACTACCTGTTGCCTTGAATGCTTGCTAGGTTAACTTCTGACAGACACCCAGGGCTTTCTGCGCAATCTTCAGCCTCCAGGAGCACTTGGTGCTAAGCATACCCATGATAAGGCTGTTTGAGCTGGATATCAGCTCTGGCTGTACATCTGTACACAACTGATGCAGGATTTGACTGCTTCTGCTGAGGCCTGTTGGACTGAACAAAAGCTCCCTTTGTGAAAATATTCTTTTCTTGTTTTCCAAAATCAGGTCCTGGTTTTCACAGGCCAAATGACTGCTCCTCCTAGATCACCTGATACTTCTTGTGTGCATATGGGGGTTCAGTGCTCTTCTGGTTTATTTTACAAATGAATAGCATTACTGTACTTTTCTATAAAGTAAGAACAGCTAATTTGGGGTCTGCTTTCTCTTTGTACTTAAGTGAACTTTACAAAGAGCCTTTGGAAGTTATTACAGTTAATCTTTCCAGAGCATACTTCTGCTTGACAGACTGGACATGATGGTAGGTCAAGTCTCGTTTGAACAATATCTTCAAGGTATAAAACGCACAGGCATAATTTCTACCTCTTTTTCATAGACCTCTTTCCATGTCCTCTGAAAGATCTCACCCTGGCACTACCCACCTATGGAAGTTCCTTTTTGAGAGGTAGTGTTGATGTAAAAGTCTCTGTCTCCTTCATCACACACTCAGATCTACTCTAAGAATTTTCAGAATGGTCATGATTCAAACACTCAAGTTTGAGGCCCTGTTCACATGGCTTACTGCACAGCTCTTCAATACTTTCGGTAGGTAGGATTACCAAGCCATGTTTTTGTCTAGAGGTGCCTTCCAAATATTGGTAAACATTGCACATATTGTCTTAGGGTTACTATTGCTAAGATGAGACACTCTGACCAAAAGCAAGTTAGGGAGAAAAGGGTTTATTCAGCGTATGCTTCCATATCACAATTCATCATTGAAGGAAATCAGGACAGGAACTCAAACAGGGCTGGACCTGGAGGCAGGAGCTGATGTCATGGATAGGTGTTGCTTACCAGCTTGCTCCTCACGGCTTGCTCAGTCTGTTTTCTTATAGAATTCACGACCATTTAAGTCCAGGAATGGCTCCACCCACAACGGGCCAACCTCCCCCACCCCAATCAATAACTAGCTTGCCTACAACCCCATTTTATGCAGCTTATGAAGGTATTTTCTCAACTGGCATTCTCTCCTATCAGATGACTCTAGCCTGTGTCCAGTGGATATAAAATTAGCCAGCATGCATACCGAAAGTGTCCATCGATTTTCCCGTTATTAAAGAACTTGAGAAGCTCTGTGTGTACTAATGTCATCTCCTCACCTTGTCCTATACAGATGGAAAACTTACAGAGGGCAGGTATGTACTGTACTTTTCACTGCAGTGCTTCATACATAAAATCTCAAAAAATAGTTGCCAAATTAAATTAAATTTTAGAAGTAACTTAGACAATTTTGGGCCATAATTAATACTCCAATTGCAGTGCTTTTCACTGAGATGATATGCAGGATATTTATTCTGGTATTTATGAGCATGTGAGCTTAATCACCTAAGAAGAAACTAAATGTAAAAAAAGAGTATGTCCTAGGAATTGCACTGACCTGGTTTACATGAAATGCATATGGAAAAATTAAAGTAGACAGAGGAGTGCCAGTTGCAGCACACCGTCTTTAAGAACAGGCTTCAATACTGGTCTTAAGTCAATGTCATTGGCAAGACTTTAATTTTACTGTTAATCTCTTTAAGTCCATTTTAACACCAACTTTCTGTCAATAGGGACATCACTGTTACTAACTTGGTGGGAACCTCATATCAAGCTGTAGGAATGGGTAGTGTCAAGAGAAAGGGTTTCTTAGTTTTGTTTGCCAGATGATTCCATACCAAAATGGCAGAGTCATTATTTCTTAGTGCAAAGGTTCCTTTCCCAGGAAGAGTAGTAAAGCCCTTGCCTAGCAGGTCCAAGTGCTGGCTCAATATCCAGCACTCAGAGACCAAAAACAAATTTTGAGACTCTCTGCATCATTATAACAGTTATAGCTGTTCTTCTTTTAAGTCTACATAAATGGTAGCAATACTTGTTCTTCTAAGATTTTCACTTATCATCCTGAAAACAAAATAAGAAACTTCCAAGATTTTCACTTCACGACATAACTTTTAAATTAGAAAACAAAAACAAACCCATAATACCTTATTTAGGGAACTGTAAAAATCAACCAACATCAGTACTGCCACATGGAAAACTCCTAACAAATATGACTAATGCCTGCTTTGTGGCTTAACTCATCTTTAACTTTATCCTTCGTTCTTTCAAACACAAGAGAAGGTAATTCTACTTACTTCTTCATTTTGAGGAGTTGGAGGTGGTCTTTCCAAATCCAGGAAATCTAGGGGTCTCTCACTCAGTGTGAGCACTCGTGGTGGTGTCTTCAGTGCCAGAGGTTTAAAGGGAGTGGGCTGGATAAGGTCAAGATCTGCTGGTCTTGAAAATGAAATGTCTTCATTATTTCCTAGGGGGAAAAGGAGGTGGGGGTGTTTGTTTAATGTTTTTATGCCCCGTCAGATTTGTATTACAACCTACCTGACAGCAGTAGTTTCATTTTGGTATCTGGTATTCAACAATTATTTAACACCATGGTACAGAAATTATTGTGTGTGTGTGTGTGTGTGTGTGTGTGAGTGAGACCAAAAACAAACAAAAAAACTCAAGCAACCTGTCTCTAAGTATACAACCTTCACAACACAGAAAATTTCAAATTGGCAAAAACATTTGAATATATGATTCGAATGACAGATGTCCCCTATAATCTTGCTCACATCTGAACATTTGTTCCCCAGTTGATGGCATTATTTGGGGAGGTTTAGGAGGTAAGGGCACTGGTGATGAAAGTACGGCAAGGGAGCTCTGAGATAAAAAGCCTTACTCCAATCCCAGTTCTTTCTCTCTGCTTTGGGCTCATAGTTCCAGATGTGAGCTCTCGGTCTGCTGTGTCAGTCACCAAACCTCTCCATTGACAGTGATGGACTTCTATCCCTCTGCAACCGTAAATGCAAATAAACTCTTCCTTCTACAAATTGTTTTGGTCATGTTGTTTATCACAGCAATAGAAAAGTAATAAATACAAAAAGTAAATAAGCCAAAACTATATGCATACATATTCAAAATAATCAATCATTAGGGAAATGGATATAAAATAACTAAAACTAACAAACATTGATTGAAAAGAAACATGGCATGCCAACTTGGAAAAGAATTTGTCAACATTTGAAAAAGTTAAATATAACTTAAAGTCATTTCACTTCTTGAGATATGAAGGTATATATACTCCTAAAGTTTGTACATGAATATTCCTATGTATTTCATCCTATGAATCTCAAAAAGAAAACAGCACAAATGTCCATTAAATATCAATGAATAAACCAATGATATTACTTACCAGTTAACTGGAATGAACACATAACACTTGCAACAATGTGGAGGAGTCTCAGAAAAGCATTACACTAGCCATGCAAGCAAGCCTAAGTCTGCAATTCTGCACTCAGAAGCTAAGGCAGGAGGACCCTGAGTGCCTCAGAGGTGCACTAATTCTCTGTCCCCAAATAAAAACAAAGTATAAAGTAAACAGGGCTTGGTGGGGCAGGCCTGTAACTTGAGCAGTACAGAGGGCCGAAGGAGGAGGATGACAGGGACAAGGACTGGGACTCTGTAGCAGGCAAACTCGAGGGCAGCGTGAAAAATGTAAACTCTGCCTCATGAATGAGAACTACTCAAGGAGCAGCAAGTTGAGCTCAGAGGTATAGCATTCGCCCAGAGTGCACAGATCCTAGCTTCAAAGCCCCACAGTTGAAGAAAAAAAAAAAAAAAAGAAGAAAATTACTCTTAGCAAAAGAAACTAGGTAAAGCAGAATATATTGTATGTCTCCATTTACAGGTGATTCTAAGACAAATCTACTGTCTAGGTACAGAAAGGAGATGATGGCTGCTGAGAGCTGAAGATTGGGAATGATGGAGAATGTGAACAGGAAGTCTTCTGAGATGACAATGGTCTGTAACAGGACTGCGGGGCTTACATACATTTGTAAAACTTGTAAAAATACCTTTCTCAATATTTTGAAAAACCTAAATGTTCATAAAAAAAGAAAAGATTTATTGGGGGCACTTTTAATCAAGTGTGAGATACCTGTAACAACGATCCTCTCTGGGACTTGCATAATAACACCGGCGTTGGGAACTCCTTCTTGGAATCCTTGTTCCAGGTCAGCATTTGCTGGCGCCACTTTTAACTTTTCAGGGACCCTCATTCGCTGACTAATACCTTCGGTGTATTCCATTTCATACTGAATTCGACTAATTTCTGCCATCTCAGCAGCAGTGGGAGAAGGAAATGCTGCCCCACTCACCCTACAGAAGGAAAACATGAAGATCAGGATAACTGAGTGTGCAAATGTCAGCTCCTCTATGCAGTGATGTCAGAAGACACCACCTTACAGTAGAAAGCGCAAAAGGAAACTTCTCACTTATAAGCGAAAGGAAAAAGAATCAAAGAAAACACCTTCCTCAGCATAAAGCTCTGACTTATTTGAAAATGAACCTTGAGGACACTGAGTAGGTGCAAATTTCTAAAGTATTATATAGCCACAATACAAATGCATACACATAAGCATTCTCTGTGTAAGCAAATATGCATGTAAGCAAATATGCAATTCAAAAATGCCTGAAACAAAATTTAAAATTCCCAATCAGAAGGCTAAGAGCATAGTTCAGAGGTAGAGTGCTTGTTTAACATGCATGAAGCCCCAGTCCAATGTTTAAAACTGCAAAGGAAAAAAATCCTAATTATGTGGAAGAATATGCCTGGGCTTAATAGCAATGAAATCAGAAATTGGCATCGTGCAAGAAATAAATCCTGTCAACAATGAAAATCAGAATCCAAAGGTAAATAAGGCTAATGCTCAATTTACCAAAAAAAAGTATAGCTCCCTCAAAATTACATAGTACAAATCAAAACTTCTTATTGCAAGTGAATCTGATGACTGAGATGCAATGAATGTCAAATACATGATTTATATTAATAAATCCTTAATGCACACATTTATTTTCAGGGCTTAAATGTTCACATACTAACCTATATTTAGGATCATATTCTTACATTAGTTTTGAGAAGTATCAAATATCTTTGAGGGAAAACAGTACAAATGCATTGAGTAACCTTCTAAATTGGAGAGGGATCCATGATTCCAGGAAGATGGAGTCAAAAGAATGCTGCCCCCAAATAAAAAATGCTAAGGAAAGCATGAAAGAGCATGGTTAGCTTATGGCAAGCAGCTTTTAAGCTACTGTCTGTCCAACCTATAAAACCAGCTCAACTGAAAAAAGTTTCACTGACCTTCCTAGTGGTGTGTCACTGCCCGTTTTCTTACTCATTTTAACAGAGCAAATACGTCTACAATAGCTATTAATACTGCTACCCTGTAGCTGTTTACTTTACAACAACTCCCCTACAGATCTGAACTGTTTTTGGAGTTGTACATAACAACACGGACACTGCTTTTCCAGCTGTAAAAAAGAAAGAATAAAAATCAGTATTTCATCAATTCATTTCATAAGAGAACTATGAATTAAAGTAGTTATTTGCTTAAAATGGTTTGATTTGAGAATCCAGATTTCAAATGTCTCAACTGTCACTCTACAGCACCTCACAAGGCAGAAAGATGGTATCAAACATAGTCGCTATTTCATGATTTTGCAATAAGGATAATTGAAAGTTCTATCACTATATAAAGAAAACTGAAGTGAGATTGGGGGGAAATATGGCTACCAGAAAACTCCTCTCATCACACTCTAAGAGGATATAAAAAAATCATGAAGAAAATGCAAGGCTAAAAGTAAATGTATTTGAGGTTGCCTAAAAATTTGGTGCATAAGTGGTTTCCTGAGAAGGAAGCCAAACTACACTAAGTTCCCAGCAAAGTATATTATAGGTCAAGAGCAATAAAACATTAAAGACAACATAAATGTCTTAATCACAGGGGTTATTTTGCAAATTAGTTTAAGGCCTTTTGTTTTTTGAGACAGGGTTTCTTTGTGTAACAGTCTTGGCTGCCCTGGAACTCACTTTGTAGACCAGGCTGGCCTCGAACTCAGACATCCACCTGCCTCTGCCTCCCAAGTACTGGGATTAAAGGTGTGTGCCATCACCACCTGGCTCAATATAGATGTCTTACCATCACTTTTTTTGTTTTAAAGGAGAAATGTACTCCAGGCCTTAAAGTATACTCCTTGGAGGTTGCTTAGTGTGGTAAACCTACTTGGATTACGATTGCTAACTAGTTTCTCTTATTTTTTTTTTTTTTTTTTTGCCTAAATGTCTGCTGTTTAAGGAACTGATATGCAGATGCCTTAACGACTAGGAAAACAGAGCCAAAGAAAAAAATTTTACTTACAAATGTGAAATAACAGGCTTGATATTTGGCACTATCTGCTTCTGGGCTTCATAGTAAATCCTTCAACTGCTCCAATATGCATGTGCTAGACTGAGAGCCACTTTTGTCCCTGAGGGAGAAAAAATACAGTGATTAAGAAGCTAGATGATGCCATTATTACAGACCTAGCTGGAAATTCTTCAAATAAAAATACACAACTTGACACTAAGAAACAAAACAAACAGAGAAAGAATTCCAAGCTTTCCACAAGTTTTAGTGTTACAGACAGGGCCCTGTGACTAGTCACCATATATGGCAGTGGTTCTTAACCTGTGGTTTTTAAACCTTTTGGTGTCACATCAGATAGCCTGCATATCAAGTATTTATATTATGATTCATAACAGTAGCAAACTTACAGTTATGAAGTAGCAATGAAATAATTTTATGGCTGGAGGTCACAACATGAGGAACTGTATTAAAGGGTCGCAGTGTTTGGAAGGTTGAAAAACACTGATGTAAAGTAAGACTTATCTAGAAAGCTGGTAGGCCAAAGACAAGTTCAAGTTAAACTAATGTATATATACATATCATCTATTTAATAAGGAAATTCAGTTAAATTTTCATTTTAAAACATAGAACCAGAAATAAATAAACACTGTATAAAATATATAAAAACATAGAGAGGGCTGAGCGCTCTCTCTCTCTTTTTTTCTCTCTCTCTATATATATAGAGAGTGATGAATATCCTAGCATTCAGGAGGCTGAAGCAGAAAGAGTTCAAGGCCAGCTTACATCACACAGAGAGACTACCTAAAAAAGTCTTACAACAGAAAAGCAGAGCATATCAAGAAAATGAAATGTCCCACCTAATCTTATGTTGGGCCTCATAAGGCCCAGGGCAACTTCCTAAGCCTCACTTGCGTTTGGTGAGGCCCAGCGTGACTTCCTGAGAGTAACTTGTTTCTGGGAGCATATGTCAACGTTCTCCACATTCCATCCCACGACAAGTATCCTAACTTAGGAATCTTTAGTTTGAAAAGACTCAGGAACCAAGAACAGATAGGTGTCACTGAAAGGACCTTAACTTCCTCTGAAGTTAAACGACCTAAATTTCAAAAGTAAAGAAAACTTTTTTGTTAACTTTCTATTGCCTCAGTGTTTAATTTTTATGTTTCAATAAAATAGACGGGATCTAATTATTTTTCTTCCTCATTAAATTTGATACTTTGGGTAACATCCTTTGGTGCCAAATAAACCTAATTTGGGGCTAAGGTTTTAATTCCACATGCTTTGCCATTTAGAGTCTGCTCGGTAATCACTACATGACTGATGTATAACTTGAGAAAAATCTCCCTTAGATACTTAACTGATGTCACAGTCCGTGTCCTGGCCATCCCCAAACATCAGTAATATTTTCCAAATTCATTAGGGTCCCACATTGAATGTCTTCTTTAATGCGCCTTTAATTTTTTAAAAGGCAAATTTATTTTTAAAGGAAATAGTTAATCAATGCCTTAGCAAATAAACTTACTGTACGCATAAGTACATGTAACAAAAACAAAACTATTACAAAAAATAGGTCAAAGTGGATCTTTAATGTCTCCTACAGGAAAACAGGCAAAAACCTTGAGGCTACAGAGGCATAGCCTTTTTGCAAGGGACTCCAAGGAGCCCAGGAAATAATAGCAAGAACTGGCAAATGGCACGGCATAAAATAAAAAGTTTCTAAACAAATTAGAATGGAGAGTGAGTTTACAAAAGTTTTGTCAGCTAGATTTCTGACAGGGGACTCAAATCTAGAATTTATAAAGAACTCAAATATTAACAGAAAGAACCCCAATCCAGTATCTATTAACAACAACAACAACAAAAATTCACAAGAGTAAAGAGTGACAGGAAAACCTAAAACGAAGTAGCTCTACCGGACAGGAAGGGAGATAAGACAAGACAGGAAGGGAGACAAGACACAGTTCCTCCCGGAGCAGCAGCTCAGTAAAAAGCAACCCTAGGAACATCACAGACAGCACTGATGAAAAATCTATCTCAATTCACAAGTCCTTGAACCCCCCCTCCCCCAAACAATGTAAGTGCGTGCTCAGAAAACTAACCAGGACTGAACCGTCCTACTTTCTCTCTTTAGTTTTTCTCAGGGGAATCTCATTAGTAGTAGCCCAGGGGCTGAGAGTGTTTCTCACCGGGAGTTGGGGGGTGAGGGTAGACATACATTCTCATTCACTGTCTCCCCGCGGAGGCCGGCATAGCACTACTGGGCTCAAGCTTTAGTTCTCTGCAATTAGAAAGCGCCATCAATTCAGGCAGTGCGCTGTTCTTTCTTCCCAGGGAATGCGCCCCGCTCCTAAGCCAAGACTCTGGCTTTTGCAATTAAGACAAGAGCTCATTTTTGCAAACGGAGGTCGGGGGCTATAAGGGCCCCGGAACCTAGCTCCGAGAGGGCACCCCAAAGAGCGAGCCGGCATAGCCACCAGCGAGCAAAGATAAACGTTTTGGCCAGCTCAGGGCCTTCCAAAGGCCTTTCTTGAATTACACGATTTTACACGCGTTTTTACACGCGTATACACAAAACGCGTACACACAAAAACGCTACAGCCTCAAGGTCATGCTGTGAGGTACGTGGGCCCTAGGAAGAGGTGCGCAAAAACAGCCCAGGTCCAAGCTGACAGACTTCCTCCCGCTTCCTAACCCCGATAGGTGGGGGATTTTGTTGTTGTTGGTTTGTTTGTTTCGTCATTAAATTGGATTTTTGTTCCACAGAACAAGATGCCGAGGTAGAAAGGGTGAAGAAGCCGGCCCCTGATAACAGCAGGGCAGGGCCGTGAGGACAAGCCAAGGCCGGGGCCGCTCCGCCCGGCCCGGGAGGCGGGGATCACGGCTGTGGCGCTAGGCCCGGAACCCCGCTTGGGGAGACTACAGCACTCACCCTGGGCCCGCTGGAGGGTCCCCGGAAAGGGCCGCCGCCCGCCGGCTCCGGGGCGCTCGGGCGAGCACTCGCAGAGGCCGTTGGCCGAGCGCACCAAGGCGCCCGGGCAAAGCAGCGGCGGAGCGGCCGCGGCGGACCGGGACAGACGCGAGAACTGCCAAGACTGGCCCCTTCTACGAACCGTAGCGGAAGTAGGTTCCTAATCATGTGACAGAGGAAGGGCGGAAGTTACGCTCAGGCTCGTGAGACGTCGCTAAAGAGCCATTTTTGTTGTGGGCAAAGCGCTCCCTCCTCAGGTGAAACCGCTCAAATTCTTAGATTGGATTTCTGTTGGGGGATTTTTAGACATCGCGATCTTTGAGAACCTCGAGTTTGCAAGGTAAATTAGTAGCCTGTTTTAAAGAACCGCCTGAATCAAAATTCGTATCGTGCGAGGCCCGAGAATTTGCGAATATAACTAAATATTGGGAGTAATTCCTCAACACTCTAATTTTGGTTTTTCCTAAAACCTACAAATTAAGAATCCGAGAAAAGGGGGAAGCTAAATTTCCCCCTTGAAAACAATAGCTGTCAGAACCCTCTTTCAAATCTAATCACCCAATTTATGGCTCCTCTATGGAAGAATATGGCTGGAAAGAAAGAACCAGGCTCGCTCCCTCATAGACGAATAGAATGGAAGCCAAATCAGGAAAAAAGGCGTGTGCCTCAAATTTCATAAATAGCCTAACTATTTTATCCACTGTTTTGCATCCCAGGAATCAACCATGAAAAGATTTCTCTCTTTTCCATCCACTCCTATCATAGTTGAAACTGTTGGTGCACTTTAGAAATCCCAGTACTGGGACTTGGGAGGAAGCTAGAGGATCAGGAGTTCCGGGCCAGCCTAGGCTATGTAGGGAGTGGGAGGCCTGTGACATCATCTATATCAAACATACACATTCTTTTCCTTGTGGTTATTCCTTACTAATAAAGTATAACACATCTATATTGTGTTAAATATATGTAATCTAGAGACAATTTCAAGTCTTTGTGGGGATGTACATAGGGTATTTGCAAACACTAAACCATTTTGTATAAGAGACAAACGCAGATTTGTATAGAGCTGTGATTTTGGAATAAATCTCTCACTCACTTGTGCAAGGGAAGAGTATTTACTCAAGTGGTGCAGTCTTGAATATAAAGCTATTCCAAAGCCAATCTTTGGCGTATTCCAATAATCACAACACTTAGGAACCAGAGATAAGAGGATGTGGGGAGTTTCAGGCTTGCCAGCACCACCAAATGTACTCTGTTCTCAAAACAACAAAAAAGTAAACAAGGATGATACTCCAGAAATGTTAATCATTCTTTCAAAATACTTTGGCAAGTTTTTTGAATTGTACTCTTGCATCCTTCCTAATATTGGTGTAGGATAAGTAAAATTTCCCTTTACCCTATTAAGAACTCAGTGGGAATCCAGTTAAGTTGACTTAAAACAGTAGCTGAACAGAAGGGAAGCATACAACTTTTATTTAGTAATGTTTGCTTATACATTGGAGTATAGGGAAATGAGGGCCTAAAGATTGGGATCCAAAATTTATATTAGAAACTGGCCGTTGTAGTAAATTGTAAAAATGTGAGACAACATTTTGCGGGGGGCAGGAATTTGGCCCAAAGGGATTTGGCCCAGGGCATTGGATAAGTGCTTAGGAAGATGGGAGTTAGTCTAACTAGGTTGTTTTTCTCATCTTGTCTATATGACTTTGGCTATAAGAACAACTTCCTCCTGGTACAAGGAAGTTAGCTTTCGTATGCAAGTTTTGTTTTAGAATTTTTAACCACCTTTTTTCTCAAAATAATCTTTATTCCAAAGTGGCCTATTGTTGGTGTTACTTTACTGTGACAATCTTTTTCATACATAGTAGTATTCTGTCATTCCAAGTCAGTGCCTTCAGGGTAAGTAGAGGTTAAGCTGGGTAGATCATGTGTGATCAAGACATTTAAAAGTGAAGGTCCCACTGTTTCCATTACTTTCTATAATTCTTCAATGTTACAGATTGATATTTTTGTCTCTACTCCCCCTTCTTTTCAACAAAAAGTCTTCTGAAATAACCATTAAAAAAATAAAGATCCATAATCTACTTACCAAACCCAAGTCTTCTCCTGTAACCCTGATTTGTCATTTATCTTCTGGCATCATCTGAGTCTATTAAACAAGACTGCTTCACAGCACGTCAGAGTATCTACTCTAATAGTGTTAGGTTACACTATATTGTAATAGTGTTAGGTACAGTCTTCAAAAAAAAGGGGGGGGGAAGGGCAGGGTTTGTGGTATGGAGGGCATTTCTCTCCCTATTCATATGGAGAGTCTATTCTTTACCGTGTTGTAGATTCATGCTGCGTCTCCTTTTCTGGTCTCACTGATGTGGACATTTCTGTTTATGACTACCGCCTTATAGTATATAAATCCACACAATCTGATCCATTTAGTTTCATCCTGTTGAATTACTTCTAGCCTTTACTATTTATGCTTCCCAGTAGGACTTAAATTCTAATAGGGTTTTACATCCAAAAATGTTTTCTTTTTTCACTTCAGATATTCTTTCTTCAGATACACTTTTCAGTTATGACAAGATTACTTTTTTAGCCATCAAGATTCAAAATACTGTAGTTATCATCTACTGTCTTAATTTGATGGTTATTTTGGGTGAGAATGAATATTAAACAGTAGCAGATTTAATATTCTTAACTTCAAAGTTGCTTATTGTTCTTACAGTGGCTATTATTTTTATAAAACAAAACAAACTTATTTCCTTTAAAAGAACAAAGACCTGATACAGTTGTTCTTTTAATTTTATTTTTGTCAAAACAATAGAACTTTAGTTATATTTACACAAATATTAGTACATTGTAATATAATTTTTTCAGGAGATAACAGCATAAAATAGTCAATATATTTTAAATAAGTTTAGCTTGGTTATTATACAGAAAATATTAAATTAAGTTTAGTGGTAGTAAGTTACATTTGAAGTATAGAAAATCCTTGTGAAATTAACAATAAAATTCAAATTTAAACGTTTTTAATACTTTTATAAATAAATTAATAATGTTTACCTTGCAAAAACAAGCCGTTGACAAGTTGGTTGTTCTAGCACACTGTGAAATTCTGAAGTTGAAGCACCAAATTTAAAACAAACGTTTTGTTAAGTTAATAATTTTTAAAGATTTATTTTTATATATGTGTCTGTGCCTGTGCAAGTGAATGCCACCTGTGTATGGGTGTCCTTGGAGGCCAGTTGGATCTCTTTGAGCTGGAATTACAGGCAGGTGTGAGCTGCCTGACCTGGGTGTTGAGAACTGTACTCTGGTCCTCTGTGGAGCAGCCAGTATTCTTAACCCTGAGCCATTTCTCCAGCAAGATGAAGTTAAATTTTAACTTTATAATTTACTCATAGACATTTGGGAAATAATATATATGGACTGTATTTTAATGCACACCCTTAGAAGCATGGCTGAATAGCTGTTGAAATGGCTTCATTGGGATTTATGTGTTCAGTGTTGCCTGTCTTTCCCCCAGAAGTCAAATACTGATAAGAGGACCAGAGGAAAAAGAGGTCTAGGGGCAAATGGAAGGCAGCCATTTGACATCAGCACCAGTCTGGTAGTAAAATGGTTTTCCCTGAAACGCAAACACCTGTGGATTTTTTAAAAAGGCAATGGCCAAGGGGGTGGGGCCAGTTCCTTGAATGTTTCCCTAGTGAGCAGAGTGCACCAGAATCATGGGGGGAAACATTTAAAACAAAATTCTGGGAGGCTAAGATAGAAAAATTGTGATTGGGGGGCCAGCCTGGGCTATATGATGAAATGCCTCTCAGCAAAATGAAAGAGACTTCTGGTCTCCAATTACAGTTTCTAATTTTGCAGGTTTGGAATATTCTGGAATTGCATTGATAACAAGCTCCTGGCTGCTGCTGCTACGACTACTAAGGGGCCACACTGGTCAAGGCTAGTTCCTTCTTTTTACAGCTAGAATGGAACAAGGACAGTGGATGGTTTTTGAATAGGAAAGTTAGGTGAAATACATAATTGAAATGAGATGTTGCACGTCTTAGTTCAGGTGTAAAAATGTCTTGGCACCTGTCATGTGAGTTACAGAGAATGTCAACCCTTGTCTATGTCCTCGGGTCACATTTTCCAATACAAAGTAGATGAGATTACAGCACCCGCCTGAACGTAAGTATCAGCACCATCAGCTCCACCTTCGTGGATCGTGGATCAAGAAATGTAAGCTTCGCCTCATGATGCCTGGCCTCCATGAGTCATTAAATACTACTACAAATATTTGACTTATGAAATGTTTGTTTTCGTAATAGTTTTCAAGCTTTTGCTTCTGGGTGACTAAAAGAAGTTAAAGATCATGAACTCCTTGAGCATAGATCTTTTTTTAAATTTTAAAATTTTGCGCACATTGATATGTGACTGAGTGTGTGTGTGTGTGTGTGTGTGTATACACGTGTGTGCACACAAAGGGGCCAGCAGTAGGTGTCACTGTGAATCACCCAGTATGGGTACCGGTGGCTTCTGCCAGAGCAACAAGTGCTCTTAACTGCTGCACCGGCCTTATAGTTCTTATTTTTAAACTTTTTCTCAGGCCTTCTGAATTGTTATGAACTATTGGAAACAGTGGTAAAGGAAAAAAAACCACAACAATAATGAGGGGAGAGCTACACCTAAATATGAGACTGGTTGGTTGGTTTTGATGTGTGTGTCTTCTCTCTCTCTCTCTCTCTCTCTCTCTCTCTCTCTCTCTCTCTCTGTGTGTGTGTGTGTGTGTGTGTGTGTAGGGAAGGTCTTGCATATGTGAGAGTCTTTACACAAAGAATAAGTTGCCCTCTCATGATTATATCAGAAACAAGTTTGTCTCACTACCTTTCCCTGAGACCCTGCTCAGTATATGGGACATAGGTTGGTACTGAAGAAAATATTTGTTGGGCTGAATTAAGTAAACTTGGGAATGTATCAATATACTTAAAAACAAGTTTTAAGACATACAGTAAGGTTTACACCCAGTGGTCTCTCCACATGGTTGTTGAGAATATATAACATAAAAACGTGTATGTGTGTAATGTTTTCCAAAGGATAAGTTAGAAAAGGAACAAATCTGTAAAATCGTGTCATGAACTATTTCGATCAAAGAAAAATGTTTGAAGTCTGATACACCAGCAAATGCCTCTCATTCTTCCCTGGGTTATTGAACTACTAGTGAAATTCTTTAAGGCCAGTATCTACAGGAATTGGGATAAAGTGCACATTTAGTAAATAGTGTCCTTGTTACTTGTGAGTACATTAAGAACAATGAAGAGAAGTATTTCAGTGTATGTGTATAACATCCTAGTAAAAATTAATCCCCTAAGGGTAAACATTTTATCCCCTTTCAATCTATGGCCATAGTAAAATAGCAAATAGACATCGTCAACAAAACAGAAAAAAAAAACCCTACTTTATATCAAAGCCTATTATGATTCCCTTCAGGAAGTTTCCTTTGGTCCTAGCTTTGGGCATATTTAAATGAGTCCTGAAACATCATGAACCTCATCCATGTGTGTTCTTCTCAATAGGTCTGACTATCCAGTTCCGGTCATGATGTGCTCGTGTACTGTATAGCCCCATTTCCTTCTCTAGCTGAAGTCTAAGGTCTCAGAAAGGAAGTAGGAAGAAACCAAATTCCTTAGGTCAAAGTGGTAGACAAGGAATACGTTGAACATCCCCTGGACCAACTCTCCCTTAGCTTGCAGTTCAAGCTCCACACAGACATCATTTAGTCAGTGCTTTGTGTACAAGCGGAATGTGATTTCAGTGATATTTTGTGGAGAGCTGTTGCCTTCCTAGGGGGGACTTTGAAACCACACAGGTTTATAGACCCACACCACAGACTAACTTGAATGAAATGCTTTCTGGTGTAGTGAAACGTGCCACTACCAGATCGTCACTGAACAACACTGCGAGGTTAGAGAAGAAAAGACCCAAGGAAAATCCATGTACTGAACCATGACTTTGCATTTCAAGAAGGAAAAACGTGGTTCTATTTTCTTTGATTTCTTCAGTGTCTTTTCTTCATGCACACCTGACAGCGGCTTATGATTTTTTCTAAATCTCCAGCTTTCACAGTTGATGGAATAGGCTTTCTGAAATAAACATAATGAAAGAACTCATTGATTTGTGGATCAAAGGGGATACTTAGTTTGCTTTGAGTTTCATTAATAAACGCAGCTTATTTTAGTTAGTCTGATTTCAGAAACCTCTCCCTTTATAGAACAGAATTTCTGAAAAGATAAATTTATGTTTGCATATATAAACATATTATCAATATTTCATATTTTAGTTATGTTTCATCAGAATTCACAGAACACAGACTTTCCTGCAAACCTACAGGTCACTTTTTGAAGACTATTCTTTCCCATTTAAATACTCATGAGTCTTCTCAGATAGTACTTTAGGATCAGCTAGTGTTTTTATTCAGTAATTTACTATAAATCCATATTGTGTTGAATATGCTTAATGATGACAAGATCATGTGTACACTTGGTCTTTACTGACACAGTGAGAAATAGAGTCTACTCGCTGACTTCAAAATAATTCTAACCTGAGACTGTGAAGGTAGACAGGATTTTATTGGCAGGTGTGAGAGAGTTAATGTAAGGACATCCATACACAGGTAAAATTAAAAGCAGATACAGGCAGCCTTGAACGTTCCACAGTCAAGTCATCAGATTAAGGCTGACTTTGCGCATTACCTGAACATTCTTTCTCGGTTTAAAGAAGCCAGCCAGAAGCTGTAGGAGTTTGAATAGTAGTTACACGTTCCTCGTCCATGGCATTCTATGAACGGACTGGCTCGGAACTCCTCCAGGCAGGAGCCGGGTGAGGCGAGCGCTTGTCCCGCTCCCTCGGAGCCAGCACTTGTGAACTGTCGCAACAAAAAGACCCCATTGTAAACCATTACCTGTTGTATTTCAAATGCAGTTTTCTACAGTTTTGGGTGGGCAATAATATAAAGCAACAGGAACGGAAAAAGAAAACATAGACAGAAACTTTTTCTGTTTTATCCCGATTAATTTACACTCTGGGCATGCTCTAGAAAGAGATACAGTCTTCCCAAGGAAAGAGAGAGCTGTAAGTTCTCTTACCCTATCTTTCAGCAGACAGGTCAGCACCTAGACCCAAGACCACTACTGTTTTCTTTATTTCTCAGTCTGTTGTCTGTCTTTACCAGTGGAATATAAGCTCCATGAGAAGACCATGGTCCCTGCTGTCCTTACTGCCCAGAAGTTGGGACTCATGATGGGTGCTCAAAATGGTTTTTAAGTTAATTACTGATTGGGCGGACAGCTGGCTGTGAGGGAAGAAGGGCGAATGCTCTGTCCTAACAAGGCTGTGCAGAATGTGAGTAGTGATGCATACATGCAGTTAGCACTGTAGAGGGTTGGTCCGTGCTCTTAATTCAGCACTAATGTCAGGGCTTTTCTTAAGAGGCTTCTTCCCATTGTTAGTGCCATAAGAGCATCAGAGGGGCATAGTACGGAGCATATGTTGTCCCTTCATAATCATGATACCTTTAGAAAACAGCTCGATTTTTACTTACGAATCCACAGATGCTAAGAAGTACTCCCCCGGTGATCAAAGCATTACAGACAATGTAGGTAAAGAAACCATCACAAAAATGAATAGACAGGCATTCTATTTCCATTAAAGAGTAGCCATTCCTCACTTAAATGCTACAATTAGGGATTTGTGGGGAATCTGAGTTGTCTGTTTAAAGTTATAAATTATATTTGTTTGATGAGTGTGTGTGCATGTGTGTGTGTGTGTGTGTGTGTGTGTGTGTGTACACGCATGCCACAGCAAATGTATGGCAGCCAGAGGACCACTTGGGGAAGCTTATTCTCTTTCTACCGTATAAGTCTTAGGGATTTAATCCAGATCATCAGACTTGGCGGCAGTGCCTTCCCCCACTGCGCCGTCTTGCTATCTCTTATTTTCCAGTGCTTCATGACTTTTCAACACTATCAACGTTGTGACTCTTTTGTTGTTAATGTTTTTATTTATTGAGACTGGGTTTATTTTTGGTTGTTTGTTTTTTGCCCAACCTGACCTCAAACTTGTTAAGTAGTCAAGGATAACCTTGCGTTTTTGATCCTCCTGCACCTACCTCCTGAATGCTGGGATTACTCAGTTCTCTGGACTACTGAGGAATGGAACCAAGGACTTTGGGCACGCTAGGTGAACACCACCTGCGGAGTTGATTGCCTAGCCCTTTGAAGTGTGTTTTCAGATTGTCAAACATCTACGGCATATTACACGTATTACCAGGTAGGGGATCACATTTTCTATACAAGATTCTATAGGTAATTAATCATTACTTCAAATGTGCTGCAGTTTTTTCTTCTTCTTACCATAACGAAGGAAAACCCTTTCCAGAGAGAAACCCAGCCATGGGGACATGGAGGGACAGCTGGCGTTTGGCTGTGAACAGCTATGGCCATGGCAGGACCTTCACAGACCATACACCTGGAAAATGAAACCAATAGTATGACGGCCCATTCCTACCCTTACAGTCCTTACAAGTTAAGCAATCCACTTACAAAATGAGGAGACTGGGTTTTTACCTGCTAATATAGGGTTCGAGAGCTCTGCCCGTAACTGGAGCCATGTCCATTGGCATCAGAGCTGGTGTTGACAGCCAGTATGAATAATCATTCCGTGATGCAAAGTTACATACATTATTGATGTTACAGAATAAGAATGGCATTGTGGAGAATCGCTGCAGGCAGCTGCCCAGAGTGCCTAATAAAACACGAAGCTGAGTATCACTTCCTGAATTACAGTCTTTGTATCATTATTTAGACATGGGTTAATTATTACATAACCAGTGAGAAGTCTTCACAAAAAGAAAAAAGAAAAAAAGAGAAAGGAAAAAGAAAAGAAAAAATAGAAAAGAATTATTTGCAAAGTGTGCTGCTGAAAATCTGTAAGAATGATGAAAGTCGAAGCCTCAAATGGGTAAGCAAACATCCCCTATCAAGGATGCTTTCTTCAGCTTTCCTAACCAGCTTGGATAGAACTTGGGGCCCAATGTTGTTCAGCTGGGACAATTTCTTTGGTATTCATAGTAGCTAATAACCAGAGGAAGCTTTAGAAAAGATTAATTTGAGGATTAACAAAAGACAGATGGTTGGGGCAAAAATTGTTGGCATTGACCAACCTAGGTGGGTTCCTTCTAGCAGTTTACACATCAGGGTGAAAAGTAAAACTTGGGTTACAATTGTTTCCTCAAATGCCCCAGAAGACGCTAACAGTTTACAGTGACCTTCAGAGAAAGCTCCCATCCGATAAATATTTTAGAGTCTGCATCATAGACTGGAAACTAGAACCTTACCAAGGTCTTGTCCGTGTGCACGCTCATTTCCTTGCACAAAAAGAAGAGAAAACCCACTGTAGAGCAGCTGTGTTCCTTCAGGACATGAAGGAATGGCTGTGGTTTGACTGTGTCGGGTGAAGACAAATCCTTGCATTCTTGTCCCAGAGGCAGGTGTTCCCCTGTCTCCAGGTTTTCCCTTTAAGCCTGGCAATCCGTCTAATCCAGGCAGTCCTTTGAAAAACAAATTATTCATGTTGCAACATGACCAGACTCTCAAACCTGTTTTCCAAAGTAGCAATTTAAATCAATTTATGTGGCCCTTAAGCCTCTAACGTGAAATGGAGTCTTAGGAAAGAATGGGGGTTATAAAATGGCTAGGCTAATTTATTTTAGTTATCAAGAGGGTTAAGAACCACTAAGGAGCTTACTAAGACATACCTGGGTGTGTCTGTGGAGTTTTTAGAAACAATTAGATCATGAGGGTTCTATCCTAATGAATGGATTGATGCCCTGATGGATTCATAGATGATGATTTTATTGGGAGTTGGTGAGGGTACAAAGTGGGGTTTTTTCTTAAATACTGGATCTTGCCTTAGTCCTTTCTGTAAGGCTTTTCCTGTTTTCTGTCTTCCATGCAGTGAGCAACGCTCCTCCACCATGTGGCATCCAAGCGTAGAGCCAAACAACCATGGACTGAGCCCTCCGAATCCAAATGCCAAAGTAAATCTTTCCCCCTCTACATTATTATTATTTTCTACTACTACATTATTTATAACAGGTGTTTTGTTCAATGACACAAACATAAGGTATACAAAGGAAAAATAATATTAAAGATTAGTTTATCACAAGATGCATCTTATCAAAGGTACTTGTATGTATCTTGAGTTTTTGAGGTCAGATCTTTTTAACCCTTGAATTCCCTTGGGATGTCTGGCATAGCATCCTGCATTTGAGTTGGTCGTCCTCGTATACATTTTGTATGTATGAATGAATTTGTGAATGGCTTGCCTGACAATGTGTGTGTATGGTGGGGGGGGGCACAGAATCAAATAAAATACCTCAACGTGTAAGGCTGTTCAAGTAGATAATAAAAATTACAAAGTTTTTGATAAATTCAGAAAACAATTATGTAAAACTTTGAAAGTTCTTTCTAGAGGTGCAAACTTTCAGAAAGTGTCTGATACATTAGCAAGGCAAGCAGACTTCTTTCTACTGTAACAAGGGTTCTTGGTTATCCGGAAGAGTCACAAACCAAGCAGTATTTATGCTTCGCCTTTCCTCTGCAGTAGGAGGAGGCTGGTTTACTTTTGTCACTTCCTAAATCAGACCCAGTGAGTTAGGGGTCTCTCCCCTTCTTCCCGTCCCTCCGTCTCCTTCTGAGAGCCTCACAAGTTCACAACGGCCTTGACTTTAAAACATAGGAGGCAGACACATTCTTTATGTTCCCTGACCTCTGCTCTTACTCACACAGGGCGATGATTGGTAGTGTTGTGGTTTGAATCTGAAGTGATTCCATAAGCTCAGAGACTTATGGTTTGAATGCTCAGCCATTCCTTGGCTTGTTGCCCTATTTTAAAGGCTATGGATCTTTAGGAGGTGGGGCCTGATGATTTGACCTGCTAGTAAGTCTAGTTTTATTTGCCTGCTGACCCACGAAGAGGTGACAGCTGCTTCTGTTGTCACAAGGTGTCCTCACTGCTGTACCTTTCCTGTTGGTGACAAATCTTCCCTCCCTTAAGTTGCCTCTTTTGAGGATGTTCATCACAGTGGTAAAAAGCTAACTAATATGGACCTTAAGCAGAAGATGCATTCTAGTGTCTCCATGGCAACTGTGAAATGATTGGCTGAGCAGGGCAGAAATTGGGGGTAAGATTTCATGCTCATGCAGCCAGACAGTGGTGGTGCACACCTTTAATCCCAGCACTTGGGAGGCAGAGGCAGGCAGATCTCTGTGAGTTCAAGACCAGCCTGGTATACAAAGTGAGTTCCAGGACAACCAGCGCCACATACAGAGAAACCCTATCTCAAATTGTGCCCCCCCCACACACACAAAAAAAAAGATTTCATGTTCATACGCACTACCCAAACTCTATACTGCATCTCTATAAATCTAAGCTTGAATCCTTGTATCATTCCTATGAGGCCTCTATAGTTTTAACTATTTGCTAATCAATTCCCAGCACAATTTGATTTGAAGTATCCTATGCTTACTGTCACCTCATAAAATACAGCTTTGATAACAGGAAAATTTGTATAAATTAATAGAACCATTTACAAAAGCACATTATGAATAATGTCAAATTGTGTTCTTTAATGTAAATTCCTAGCAACACTAGATGAAAAATTAATATTACAATTAATATTATAGTATCATATTTGAATTGAAGTGCCTAGTCTAGCTGGGAAATCATACATAGAAGTTATGCTTTCATTAATAAAGTCAGTAATCTTAGGCAGTTAGATATTTCAGTATTTTCCAGAGGGGTACTTTGAAACTTTTGCAGAAGATAGAATTAGATACATAGCTTATATTCTAAGTAGAACATTATATTTAAGAGACTTTTTTTAAACAGAATATACACCTGAGTAACTACTTGCATTCAAAATAGTATAGTTAAGAGGTGACTTTCCTAAATAAGGAAGCAAGGTTGTTCTATTCATGCCAAGGTAGCATTTAAAAAACAAACAAACAAGCAAACATGCATTTATGATGTTTACAAAAGACAAAAACCCCAACTTAGCATGATGTACTTATTGAGAACCAGACCAAGCCAAGGAAACACTAATGTACAAAGCAGGAACATAGCTCCTTCTCTAAACCAGAAACACACTTGACAGAATCAGTAAAAGCCTGGGGCCAGGGCCTTGAGCGCTTTTCCCTGAGACCCTGACCTATGGAAAAGGAACACAGTTCTTTCTCGAAAACCCAGTATATACCTGGCAGAGCCATATTGATCTGGGGTGAGGACCTTGGGGGAGCTGTGACTTAGGATCCTGAGAACTAAATTTTTCCCATGCTAAGGAGCTAAGGCTATCAGTCCCAAGGCCGCCCTGTGCTCAATCCCTGATGCCCTTCAGGTATCCTGTGTTCTCCTTGAGCAACATAGGTTGATTAGCTTCCCTCTAGTCCTCCTGTTATAATGATGTCTTTTCACCACACGGTCCCCTTTCACCCTGGAAATGGTACATCAGGTGCTGTACTTCTTAACCAGCTTGCCTGGCATAAGACATAGCTTATGCAAGACCTCCCTATCCCAAACTTTCCTATCTTCTTATCCTCTGATCTCCTGGCCCTCCCGCTTAGGATCCTGTCACTGAAGAGCCCCTGCTGGTCCAGGTCACACAGCTCCTGTAAGAAACTATTAGCCAACAGAACACCTGTAGGTAATTAAGGAACAATTTGCCTTTCTGAAAATAGGATACGAACTAGTGCCAAAGATTTCTGCCGTGACTAAAAATGAAGAGTACATCTGCCCAAGGCAGACTGGATGGTATAGTCCAGCCATTTGTGACTGTTCTTCCTTCCTAATGAGCAGATGGCACCCTGCCTTTGTTCTAATCTGAACAACAGCACTCACCAGAAGCCCCAGAATGCTCGCTCTTTCTTACAGTCACATGATCACTCACAAGCATAAGTAAGTCTCCTCTGAACCTTGATACAATCCTGCTTCGGGAAGGGAGGCAAGCTGCATGTTTACCTTGCTGGCCTTTAGAGCCTTTGTTGCCCCTTTCACCAGCTGCTCCTGGAGATCCTGGTTTTCCATCCTTGCCTGGTTTACCTTTTGGTCCACAGGGCCCTAGGCAAAAGGCAGTGTTGTATGACATGCTATCATATTAGAATAAGAGGTCAGGCTGCCACCCATCTGACGAAGCATAGGACTTTTGCATCCTAGGAAGCCATGTTTGACATCCTAGGAAGGCCTTTAGTCCTGAGCAAACATGTCATTGTGCTCACCGACTTCCCAGAATGCCTTAAGAAACTATGAATATATGAAACTGTGTGCTGCCTTGTGTTGTTGTTTTGTTCAGAATTCACAATGCCCATGGAGTGATCAAACCAATAATACCTTTCTTATCTCTCGTGTGATTCAGACAAACTTAGAAAACAAAGTCCTGTTCAAAAGTCTTTTCCAATATGCTAATATGTGAGGGGTTAGGTTCAATGCCCAAATCTCAGTATTCTGGAAAGGCTTTGAAGTCATTTTTTCCTAACACGTGGCTATACAAATTATTAGATGCATCCACATATGCAGAATGTGGGTGTAGTTAGGCATTCATTTCAAACCTGAACCCGAGAACTGGCATTTGCCAGAGACAGATATAATACCTTTCTCCTTATCAAAACAAAGCAGCCTTTTAAGGAGTGTTTTTTTTTCCTACTTTGTACCATGACTAGAGGCTTGTATAAGGGTCTAAACTCTTTTTTTTCCTGCTGATCAAGGGTAAATGAGCCCAGTCCTAAGCTGATTTACAAAACATTGCAGTGTTTGGTGTTTTATGTGGAGTTGTCTTGTCTGCTTGCCAAATGCTTCACGGACTTTCTTCCTTCACCCATTACTAAGGCTCCAGGTCACTGAGGCCAGTCTCGCACCTGGGATTCCAGGCGGTCCCAGTGACCCAGGATCTCCTTTCATTCCTGGCTGTCCAGGCGGACCAGGTGGCCCTGGGCTTCCCGGAAGGGAGATGATCTTACGTGTACCAGGTTTTCCACGTTCACCTATTAACATAAACACAATGAGAAGATGGCTTCAAGAAACTACTGTTCCTTTAGAGAGAACAATACTAGAGAAATAGATATAATTACCAGGTGGTCCTTTCGGCCCAATGGGTCCTGGATGTCCAATTGATCCAAGAAATCCTGGATTACCCTTCTCTCCTAAGGAGGAGAAAGAGGAAGAAAGAAACAAAGTGGGGGAAACCTTATATTTTACTAGTCACAGGGAAGTGTTCCTGAGAGTTCACTTTTTGAGTTCAGGAACCAATGGACTATTCAAGTAAGTTATGAGGTCCTATTGAACCCATGTTAAGACCTCCTGATGATCTTTTACATATGTTACCTACTTTTTTTTTTTATCTTGTTCCAGCTGTACAGATAGCCCAGAGTTCATTATATCAGGAATTCTCATGTACATTTAATTAGGTTCAAAAGTGGTTAACATTTCACTTCCATTCATAATCTTTTATACAGATAATAATAGGTGACCAAGAAATAGCCATCAATTTGGAGAAATACTCCTCTTAAGACTATTAAGGTGCATAGACATGGACTGGGCATGCAGCCTTTAATCCCAGCACCAGGAAGCTGAGGCAGGTGGGTCTCTGTGAGTGTGAGACTAGCCTGGTCTACATAGCATGTAGCCTTTAATCCCAGCACCAGGAAGCTGAGGCAGGTGAGTCTCTGTGAGTTTGAGACTAGCCTGGTCTACAGAGCAAGTTGCACAACAGTCACTACTACATAGAGAGACCCTGTCTCAAAACAACAGCATCACATCTACTTACTTAAGATACTTTAATATTAAATATGATACCAATGGGTGAAATACAGTTTGGTTGGACATAGGCTGCTGGTCTTTAGTCCCAGCACCTGAGAGACAGAAGCGGGAGGACTGACTGCAAGTTTAAGGCTCTCTCAAGAAAGCAAAACAGAGAAAGCAAGCAAACAAACAAACAAAATAATTAATTACTGCACCAAAAGTTACCTGACAACTACTTTAGAACTTGTCCATTTACTCTGAGAAATGAAAGAAAATATGAATGTTTACTTATGACTATGAGAAGCAACCTAAATATTTTGGTGATGGAACTTCTTTCCAAATAAAGTAGTGAAATCTCATAGTTGATCCAAACCAGGGGTTTGATTCTGAAAGCTAACTGGTTGTGTCCTGTGGGAGATATCACAAGGTTGGCTGTAGGAATCTCCTCCTGCTTACCTCTATATACTTAAAAGCATCAAAAGATGCTTCGCTTTAGTGGAGCCTTTATATGCTTTTCCACTGTCCCTGTTTTTATTCTGAAACTTGTGAAGATGGTGTCATTAACTTTGCTCAGGAAGGCCTGACTGTATTCACCCAACCCACACCCAGTGGGGCACCTCACCAACACTCATAAAGATTGATCGTCAGCTAACTGCCCCTTAAAAGTCTGGAACCTGAAGAAACTCTAAAAAGATGTTTTAAAGCCCATCTGGTCCTCCTTTGAACCTAGAAACAGTTCTCCTGCATGGAAACTTGGCCTTGTTCATGTGGATCCAATTGTTCTTTAGTATTTCTATAGCCTGTGATAAGAGATCCCTGCCCTTACGAAAGTCATACTGGGGGGAGTAGACAGTTAAACAATGGGACAAATTTTAAAAATTTGCATTATGTTGTAGACACTCCCCATCCCCACTCCTGGGGCCTAATTTCACTGCATAACTCTGGGAGGCCTGGAATCCACAATATAGAGCAGGCTTGCTTGAATTTCTAGGGATCCTCTTGCTACTACTGCCTCACAAGTGCTGAAATTACAAGCATATTTTACTGGCATATCACAGTAAGATTATAATGGCTTGGGTTTCAGTTATAGAGTCCTGATGAAGCTTTGAGTTTAGTCCTTATACTACAAATAAACACATCTACATAAAAATTCACTTGAGCCACACTAATGGTCTGGTGGCTGCTGTTTTAGATGTTTTTAGCTTTCTAAATTATGAAGTTGATTGAAGAGTGCCAAAACCTTCAAAAGGTAACACTTTCAATTGTCTCTAATTTTCTTATAGTTTCCATTATTATGCGGTAGCTTTTACCTCAGCCCTGTGGGTTCAGGTGCTAGTGGAGTGCTCAGATTTGTAGATCCTCACCCCACTGTCTCTGGTGACCACACAATGTGCAGATTTACAGATGTGATCTGAGTAGCAGTGACTGTATTTGTAAGAGCAATAGTGTCAAAATAGTACCTTTTATGCCGGGAAATCCAGGGAATCCCGGATCACCTCTGAGACCTGGAAGACCTGGGATACCCGGGGCTCCCTATATTTGAGAAAGGGGAAGGGGCAGAACCACAAAATTTTAAAAACACAACACTCATAAAATTATTTTTTAAGCAAAAGATATAACTTTATATTGGATAAGAATAAGGAGAAATTAACAGATATCACTTTTACCTATCAGTTCAGTATTTTGCCTACTTATAGCTCTTATACTCCCTAGAGTTCTTCTTAGGACTATTTGAAACAACACACAAACATGCACACACACACACACACACACACACACACACACACGTGCTTGCACACGCATGCACATACACACGCTCACACACACATGCTCTCTCACACACACACTCTCATACTCGCACACACGGAACACAAAGAGCAAACTTGCCATCCAATGTTAGTGTACACTGTTTTAGCTTTGAATGCATTTAAACGGAACTGCCCTGAATTTCAGGTCATTTCAGGAAGAGCAAACCTGTGATTTTGTGAAGACAATGAGAGCCATTGTTGAAACCAAGTGTCGTTCTGCTAAACTGGCAGTGTTCTAAATTCCTCCTGATGAGGGTGGCAGAGAAGGAAACTGTCTGGAGATGGGAGTGGAATGGAGGGTAAGGGTAGAGGTTGAGCCTGCTGAGTAGAAGGAGCTCACATTGTTGTGGGAGTAAGAGACACTCAAGGACAGCCCTGAGAGAAGAAAGGGGGCAGGGCTTCTGAAAAGAGAAATACTTTAGTTCTACTCACATTATTCCTAGGAATTGAGACAGAATGCTATTGAAAACAATGAACTTAAGATCATGAAAAAAGTGCCAGGAATAACAAAGGTTGCCTTAGAGTCAGCTGCATCCAAAGGAAAAAGACAGTAGTCCATTTGCTGACATGATATTGTATGAGGTTAAAAGAAGAGAGAGAGGAAAGGGAACCCTGTGATCAGGGACTCAGGCTTCTGACAACTGCCTGTTCTCTTTAGTAAAAAGTAGCAAAGGAGAGTCAGATACCAGGTTCAGCCCTCGGGTGGCAAGGGAGGTCATTTTGTGCAAAGAGGGAGTTGTTAAGAGGGCTTATCAGGATGTCCCTCAAGCTGAATCATTTTCTCTTTGGAAATGACCTTGAGAGCATTCAAAGAATCAAGACAAGTCCTCTTTGCAGAGTGGACTTTCTATCTGCCAGTGTCCCTGGGAGAACTTTAGATGTGATCATAAGATCAATACCGAGACCTTTCAGAGCATCAGAGGGTACATGAGTGACATCTACAGATTGGATGGAGGTGATAATATCTCAGAAAGTAGATTCTAGAAACCAAATAACAAAAGAGAATAAAAGAGTTTAACACGGTTCCTATTAGTAGCCATGCCCCAGAACCTCCATATCCACACCTAGTGAGGGTATTAAAGGTGGGGTGGTGGGTTGGGTCATAGAGAGTCTGTATTTTTATGTGTTCTCTCCACTGTGTCTTTGTGGTCACAGTGGTTGCTACAGAACTCTTAGCTCCTTCTCCAGCACCATGTCTTAACTGCAAGCCACTATGCTTCTTGCCATGATGATAATGAACTTAACCTCTGAAACTGTAAGTCAGCCCCAATGAAATGTTTTCCTTTCTGAGAGTTGCCATGGTCATGGTCTCTCTTTACAACAATAAAACTCTAACAAAGACAAGGTGGTTATGAGCTGTCTGAAGTGTGATGTGGGTGGAGGGAACTGAACCCAGGACCCCTGGAAGAACAACAGTTGTTCTTAGCTACTGAGCCATCTCTCCAGCTGTGATGTATTGTGTCTTAGTCTAGTAAATGAGACCTTCATGACCTCTTTCAGCCCTCTGATCTTTGGTTCAAGGTCAACCCCTGCCTTCAGTTTGTACCCCCCCACCCCATACACATGCACAGTGTCCTTGCCTTTCGTATCCTCCTGGATAATTGGTGTGCATCTTTTCAGACTCAGGCCCTGAGCGCATTGCACAGAGGAAATGAAGTGTCCTTCCTGTATTCCTTCAGCTCCCCACCTTTCCACCTAGCGTGCAGTGTGAGAATGACACGTCTCAGTGTCTGCCTCCTTCACGTTAGGATGCCTTGACTGGAACAGGGCAGACACTCCATAATGAGTATTGAACCACAGCTGCCTATCCAACACCTCTTTCCAAGAGACCGAGGAAAACAGAAATGGGCTTACTGAATGGGTCACTAAGAGAATTCAGGAGAGGTGGGAGAGGTTGAGGGAGAGGCTCAGAAATGAGAGGTCTTGGGCTGGAAGCCCAGGAGTTGGCCAGAGAACAGGATGGCATCATTGGAGGTAAATGTAAAAGTCCTGAGCTTGCATCTCAAACACCAATGGCACAAAGCTAAACAATGAAACTGTGGAAGAAACACTGATATAGGAGAAACTCAAAGTAATAGAATTGGTGTCATAAAGGATTTACTAGTAGATTTGCTTAGGAGACGTTTATCACATTTGGCTGAAGGAATGCTGTCTCCAAACTACACCAAAAAGAAGTTGCTAACCAGGCCTGTTAGAGATAAGCAAGATTGATGATGCTAGGATGTAAATGTTCACCAAGACTGACCAGACATTAGGCTTTTCACCAAAGAATATGCCTCTAACAGGATGCTCAAGGGGAGGGGCAACATGGAGTCACAAGCCATGTTAAGTCCTCACCTGCCATAAAGTCCCTGGTTCTCTCCTTGAGAAAAGCATAATTCTGTCAGCTGGCCAAAATGAACCTGGGTAACAACTATTTGGAAAAAAAAGTACAACACTGGTGTGCTTGAAATAATTCTAGCAATATCTTTGTTATAGAAATCTCCCATTTGCCTACGTAGCCAGATTTATAGTCTCTGGTCTCTGCTTAAGTTGTTCAGAGTGTAACCTGGAGCCATGGCTAGAGAGGGTTTGTTTGTTTGTTTGTTTGTTTGTTTTCCCTTGTTTTGTTTTTGGAGTGGGATAGATGATAGCGTATGTGAAATGCATATAAATTAGTAAAACCTTCTATTGGAGACAAGCTTCTCTTGGGCCTTAGCTAGGGCCGAACACGTGCCAGTAAAAAGCCTTTTCCTTTATTAATTTATAAGTATGTGGAGTGACTTCTCTCTGGGAAGGAAGATTATTTCTACAACAACATTGCAGAAGGTTTGAAGAAAGGTCTTGTGAGCCCAGCTGACTCTAAGCTCCGTGTAATTCCCAGTGTGGCCATGAGTCAGCTGAGTGGCCATGGGAATTTTAGGTTGAATTCCTAAAATGGTAACGTTTGGGTCAGTGAGACACTTCTTTCTCTTAGCCACTCACTGGGGGACTTAGCTCTTATTTACTCCATGGTTTTTCTACTGCTGGCTTCATTTTAAAGGATCTTGCTGTTGAGCTGGGGTATAGTCAGGGTAGAAGAAAGGCTGATGAACAATGAAACATTCTCTCAGCTCTTTCATCATTTTATTTTAAAAGTAAAAATATACCTGTCATAGCTTAGTTCTTTAAAAAAAAACTTAGCTGGCATATAGACAAAAGGTATGATATAAGATCTAAAGTGTCATGCAGATGTAAGCCACAGTTATTATTTGGTGAACTTTATAAGGACATTATTTATTTGTAGATAATTCAGTAGAGCAGAGAAAAGCAAACTTGGGTAGTGATGTGTGCTTGGAATTGTTGCCCAGTAGGACACAGAAGAAGTTATTACAAATCTCCCAGAACCAGGTATAAAATAATAGGAAGACATGGAAATTACATTCAAACATTGGTGCTATGTGGTGGGTATAAAATGGACATATTTATAGGCTAGCAAAGGTTATTTGGAAAGCATATGAATATGGTACCATCAAAAATGGTAAGCATCTTGAGGCAACTGTCAACCACCAGGTGTTTAATTTTTTTCCCGCACTGCAATAGCTCAGTGTTTAAATAAGCAAGTGTCAGAGGTTTATACCCTGTAGATCCATGAGTTAAAGGCCTTTTGTAGAGGTGAAATCTTTGCAGCCCTTAAAATTTTTTGATTTCCTGGCCTCTGTGGGATCTTGGATGCATCACTGCACAGATGTGTCATCACTGCACAGATGTGCCATTACAGCACTGCACAGATGTGCCATCACAGCACCGCACAGATGTGTCATCACAGCACCGCACAGATGTGTCATCACAGAACCGCACAGATGTGTCATCACAGCACCGCACAGATGTGTCATCACAGCACCGCACAGATGTGTCATCACAGCACCGCACAGATGTGTCATCACTGCACCGCACAGATGTGTCATCACAGAACCACACAGATGTGTCATCACTGCACCGCACAGATGTGTCATCACAGAACCACACAGATGTGTCATCACAGCACCACACAGATATGTCATCACAGCACAGATGTGTCATCACAGCGCCGCACAGATGTGTCATCACTGCACCGCACAGATGTGTCATCACAGCACCGCACAGATGTGCCATCACAGCACCGCACAGATGTGTTATCAGTAGTATTCTGATATCAGTGGTATTCTGATATCAGTGGTATTCTGGGTGCAGCTGATCATGCACAACAGTTCATCAGAGTTAATAGGTCATGAAGAGTGAACAGGTATGACCAGAACTGAGATATACAATATGGCTGCAGTATAACAACAGTAAGTCACAAGTGTATTAATAACATTACACACTCACCGGGTGCCCTGGTGGGCCCATGTCGCCTACAGTTCCAGGTAGACCTTTGGGGCCAGGTAGGCCCACAAATCCTTTGTCACCTTTTATGCCTTTTATGATAAGTCCTGGAGGTCCAGGGGGACCTGGCTTTCCTGGATTCACAAAGAGCCCATTAGAGTTGCCAGTAAGGGATTCAGGAGAGTGAGTCATGAGAGTCAGGGATAGGAGAAGAGTGAAGAAAATGAAACGAGACAAGAAGCTCTGAGGTAATGTGAGGAAGACAACCTCTGATGTCAAATGTGACTTTCATACCTGGACTTCCACTTGGGCCAGGAAGACCTCTGTTTCCTTTTGGGCCAGGGACAAATGCCCCAGGTAGACCTGGTGGTCCTGGGAGTCCACTGATGCCTGGGGGTCCTTGAGGTCCAACATCTCCCATGGTCCCCTTCCTGCCAGGAAGGCCAGGCAAGCCTGGAGCTCCCTTGTCTCCTTTGACACCTGCAGAGAAGAAAGCTCGGCTATGTTCAGCGAGTCCGGTTTGAGGACTACTGAGAACTCAAGAACAGTGGCAATGGGTTTTTGATCCTATTGCACGTACTAACTTTGTGGGAGCCTAGGCAGTATGGATGCTCACCATACTAGACCTGGACGGAGGTGGGTGGTCCTTGGACTTCCCACAGGGCAGGGAACCCCGATTGCTCTTTGGGCTGACAAGAGAGGGGGACTTGACCGGAGGAGGGGGAGGGAAATGGGAGGCAGTGGTGGGGAGGAGGCAGAAATCTTTAATAAATAAATAAATAAATAAAAAAGAAGAAAGCTCGGTTGGGTTTATAGTGTGTGGTTAGCTTCAGTAATGTAGGAACTTTCTTTGAAAATGTTTAAATTCATAATTTATTTGCCTTTTTAGAAAAGAGACTGAAGAACAAAATTGTAGGTCTTCCTTGGCCTAGGTGTTGATTAGGAAAAATCATTATACAATTACTAATCTTTGTTGTCTTATTTTATTTGGTATGTGTGTGTTTCATGCTCCTGTGTCTTATTTTAATGAAAATTCTCTCTCAGTGAACTTAGAGATCACTGATTTGTCTGGAATAGCTGACTACCAAATTCCAGGGATCTGCATGTCTCAGCTTTCTGAAGTGCTGGTATTGCAGATCCTGCATGCTTCATGCTGACTGAGCCATCTCCCACTCTCTCATTGCTTAATTTTAAAGTCAAAATATACCTGTCATAGCTCAGTTCTTTAAAAGATACATTTAGTTAACATGGAGACAAAAGGCACGATATAAGATCTAAGCTGTCATGCAGACGTAAGCCACACTCATTATTTGGTGAACCTTTATAGTGACATTATTTATTTATAGATAATTCAGTAGAGCAGAGAAAAGGGAAATGTCAGGGTAGTGATGTGTACTTGGAATTGTTAGACACAGAGAAGTTATACTCCTGCTCAGTCTCCTGAATAAATCTTCCCCACAGCCATGATACTGCATCCAGGAGGAATAAACATAACAAGAGATGTGAAAGACGACCCCAGAAAGGTCACAGCTTAGTACCAGGTATTATTTACCATCTCAGCAAACCTTCAAAAACTCTGCCTTGACATTCCTGGATCAAAGATGTAGTAGGGATTGAAAACAACCTCTCCTTTTCCCATCTCGGTTTTTCTTAAAATTAAGAAATAACTTATGTATTTTATTTTTTTGTGTATGGGTGATTTGCCTACATGTGTGTATGTGCTCCATGTGTGTGTATGGTGTCCAAAGAGGCCAGAAGAGGACATCAGATCCCCTGGAACTCGAGTTATATTGGTTGTGAGCCATTATGTGCATGCTAGGAACTGAACCCATGTCCTTTACAATAACGGCAAGTGCTCTTAACATCTAAGCCATCTCTCCAGTTCCCTCTGTGGTATTCTTGAGAGGAAATGCATGACTCTGGAAGTGAGGGTGAGGCCGGTGACTGGAGGAAAGTCGTGGGCAGAACACTGTTGGAGAGTAAAGACCCGGGGTGATAAAGAAAATGAAACCGGTGGATGCTAAGCTGTAGTCTATTGTGTGTCCACAGCCTTTAGTCTATGGTGCCTGTAGTTTATGCTGTGAAAAAAGGTGGTCAGAAGACTTCAGCTTGTTTCTGGCTTTGTAGCATTGTCTGTGTTCGGCAGTGACCTCACACACTCATATTATGGATTTTCTATTACATTTTTTGTTGAAATGATTCCTTATTGTCTAATATGAGTTCTTTTAAGCATATTGGAGAATAAACTAATTAAGCCAATCCCCATACTCTAAGTTTCAACGAACTCTTCATGTTTTGTTATCCCAGAAGCATTGAGGCACATGATCATTTACGTGACTGGACTATCTGTTATTTTTAATTTAAAGCTTTTATTTGTTTTTTTTTTTTTGTCTAAGGTGTGATTTTTTTTTAAATTTTATTTGCAGTCAAATGCAAAGTAATGCAATTACAACATTTCCTTTCAGTTTTGAACTTAGCCTAACAATATGAACAGAAACATTTTGTTTGCCTACAACTCTACTACAAGACATTGGGGGAGGGAAAGGCCCTATGCTCGTCAGGGTTGGAAGGCTCTGGAAGGTGCATGAATACTGAGATTGACCAAAAGGACAATCAAGTCATTAAGAAATAAGGGGAAAGAGCAGCTCCTGTCTCCACTCCAACTGCAGCTCAGTCCAGTTCCACATCAACCTGTCCTTTGCGGGTTCTCATGACATCATTGTTCGTTATGAATAAAGTGTAGTAGATGCTTGAAACACTCCTATAGACAAGGCTAATAAAGACCACTCAAAGGTACAAACGATCTGCTGTCTCTTTCTCTATAAAATGGAAAAGAGATCAAAGAGTCTGTTTCTCTTATGACATTATCCTGAGAAAGGCATGCCTGCAGTTGGTCAAAAAACATGCATAGACTTTGAGGAACATGTTAGATAAGTCGTCTTGTCTCAGGTGTTGAGAGAGGTACAGTATAGCCCTTGACAAACCATAGCATGAACTCCAAGCTCAGTGCAGGGGCTAGAATCTAAGTGGGAAGGGGCAGCACTACCACTGTATCTCAACACAGGAAGGATGCTCAGAGGGAAACCAGCTCCCCCTGCATCCTTTTAGGAGTCGAGTCATTGAAACAACCAACTAACAACAACAGCAAAACAAAGATATACAAATTCTTTTTATCTTTACAAACTTCCACAGAGGGGAGATCCCCAAAGCTAAGTCACAGCTTTGGATTCCTTCCTTCGTTGTGATAATAAAGTTTTAATTGACTACTAAGACCTTAAATACTTAATGCCACCATGAGGGCATCTTTCACTTGCCAAGTTACATTGTCTGGTAAATCAAAAACAGAGAACTAGATTAAGTTAAGGTCAGGGAAGAAGAAGTGCCTACCTGGAACACCAGGGCTCCCTTTTGGGCCTGGATGGGCCCCCAGCAAGCCTGGAAGAGGTAATTTGGGTATATCAACATTCAATTCATCTTAGTACATCTTATATATGAAGGAAGTACAATTGACCAGTGGATCAAATGTTAAAAGTAAGGACCAGTGAGGTAGCTCTGTGGGTGAGGGCTCATGCCTCTCAGACTAATGACCTAGAATCAACCCCCTAGGACCCTTGTAGGGTAGGGATAGAATCAGCTCCTGTGGTTCATCCTGATTTCCACATGGAACAGCATGAATGAAACCTTACACATACACGTATGCACACAAAGTAAATAAATGTTGGGTTTTGTTTTTATTTTTGTTTTCATTTCCTGAGACAGGGTTTCTCTGTGTAACAGCCCTGGAACTAGCTCTTGTAGACCAGGCCTAAAGCTCACAGAGACCCTCCTATCTCTATCTCCTGAGTGCTAAAAGGCATGCACCACTACCACCAGGCTGTTTTTCTTTTTCTTTTTTTCCCTTTCTCTCTCTCTCTCTCTCTCTCTCTCTCTCTACCTCTCCCTCTCGCAAAAGCTGTACCTGTTTCTCCCTTTTCTCCGGGTGGACCAGGAATTCCGTCACGGCCCTGGTTACCTCTCATACCCATTGGTCCAGGAGGTCCTAGGAATCCTGGAGGGCCTGAAACAAACAGAAGTCCAAACCACATCATTGAAAAACATGGCCTCTTTCCTTCTATGGCCTACGGTGAACACCAGGGAGATAGGTGGAAAGTGCTCAAAGGTACTGAGTTTTCAGAACCGTTGTTTGCGGAACTGCATAAAATTAAAAAAAAAAAGTATGCCCAAATTAATACTCTCATGAGATGACCACATGGTATTTTATACTGGTAGATATGTTGATTAAAAAGGCGGTGTTTTCAACCCCACTGTTCTGAATCCTATGGGAGAGATTAGACAGTCTAACCTCAAGAAGGAAGTGTGTTTTCTTCAGGCAAGGGAACAGAATAAGTTTTAAAATGAAACCTGGAGGGCCAGTGCTTCCTGGAAGGCCTGGGAAGCCCTTCTTTCCTTTAGGACCCAAATCACCACCAGGACCCAGATTCCCTGCAGATCCAGAGAAAGGGCAGAGAAAAATAACGTTGAGATGTGAGTGGTAGTTCCTTCAGCCACTGAATCAGCCAGTTCCTGCCTCAGCCATGCTCGGGCAGCCCTCACAGACATTCCTGCCAGATCATCTCAGACATTTCTCCTGGGAAATCACACAGGTGTCATCCCCTCATATGTTGAAGTCCCGACACCCAACACCTCACAATGCCATTGTATTTAGCAATATGGTTGTTAAAAATTGGGGCTGACAAGATGGCTCAGTGGGTAGAGGTGCTTGTGGCCTAGTCTGACAACCTGAGTTTGACCCCAGATACAATGTTCAGTATCTGAGGTGCTGCTAAGATCAGGAGCCATCTGCCAAGCTATTGAACGCCTCAGTGTTGGAAAATGTCAGTTAAATGCTATCTTTATGTAAGTCTGCAGTTGTAACCAAATAGTTCAGCAAGTTTTTTTTTTCAGGTTAATTAAATATTTTTTTTTCTTCCCATTTTTCCTTCCTCCTCCCAGGGCTGGAAATTGAACCTAAGACCTTACATACGTGAGACAAATGTTGCACTACTGAGCTTCATCTCTAGCTGAGCAATGGTTTTTAATAAAACAAAATTAAAACCTGCTATAAGGTAACATGGACATCAATGTCTAAGCCAGATATAGGCCAGGCAAAAAATATTTAAAATAACACTACAGGTGGAATTATATTTTCCCCAAATTTATACATCAAAGTCCTAACCTCCAATACCACAGAATGCCATTGTGTTTCATAATATGGTTGTTAAAAATTGGGGCTGGCAAGATAACTAAATGGGTAGTGAAACCTGCAGCCAAGCCTGACAACCCGAGTTCGAATCCCGGGATCCACATGATGGAAGGGATGCACTGATTCCCACACGTTCCTATCCAAGTTATCCTCTGACCTCTACATGAATCCTGCAGCGTCTACATACCACACTCACATGCAATAAATAAATAAATAATGCAATTATTAAAAAGTTAAACAAAAGTGAGGATTGTAGCCCAACACTTGTGGCATCTTTGTAAGAAATTAGGATGAAAACAAAAGGGGGGGACAAAAAATGGTGGCTCTAGCCACATCCCAAGGTCTCACAAGAACGAGCCTTATCAGCATTTTGGTCTTAGAGTTCTGGCTTCCAGACTGTGAGCAACAGGCTTCTGTTAAGCTACCCAGTCTATGCATGCATTACAAGTCCTGCTAGCTATGTTATTCTAACCTAAGACTGTGCGGGAAACATATCATTTCAGGCTTCTTGGCTGAATTTTTTGAGACAGAACTTCAGATGTTTGATTACAGGAGCAGGTGTTTAGATTCTGGTCCCCTTAACAGTAAAATGAGGCTGCTGCTGATTAATTTGCAATTTTTAGTGCAGTAGAATGTGAAGTTAAAAGTTTAATCAAAACAGTTACAGTATGTAAGTAAGCGGAAGCTACTCATTCCTTCCTGGTCACCCAGACCCGAAATAATCACACAAAAACTTTATTAATTGAAACACTGTTTATCCTATTAGCTCATGTTTCTTATTAACTAACTCTTACATCTTGAATTAGCCCGTTTCTATTAATCTAAGTATTGCCACTAGGCTGTGGCTTATGGGTGCCGGCATGTTTCTCCTTCGGCAGCAACATAGTGTCTCCCTGACTCAGCCATCTTTCCTCCTCTATCTGGTTGGAATTCCCACCTTACTCTATTCTACCCTGCTGTAGGCCCAGAGCAGCTTCTTTACTAACCAATGGTCATAAAACATATTCACAGCATTTAGAGGGGAACCCCACATCAGTATACACCAAAATTGTAGCTTTCTGTTTACAGAGATGGTTCTAAAAGGTAAGGGGCATCCTATCCTCACTGTTTCTACCTTTCCAAACTGTAAAACAGGGCTCACCTGGGTGGCCAGGACTTCCAGGACTCCCAGGGGCTCCATCAGGTCCAGCAAGTCCCGATTGTCCAGGTGGCCCAGGTGGGCCTCTCTCTCCTTTCTTTCCTTTGTCACCTGGCAATCCTGGATCGCCCTTAAATTCAGTCAAACACCTTTAAAGTTCTCATATAAGCAGGACATGTGGTTAGGAGTAAGTAAGTTATTCATTTATCAGTCCCTGCTGAGTGTCTGCTACAGGCCAGGACCCTGAATGTATGGGACTAGGTTAGCTGCACATTTTGTGAGGGCCAACGCAAAATGCAAGTGTAGCTCTCTCTCTTTTTAAAGACACCGAGAGGGTTTCGAAAGAGCAATAGCAGGACTTTTAACCAAGATGGGGTCCTGGACAGCACGCGGTCTATGTGACGACAGACTGTCCATACATGATGCATACAGCCCCTGCCTTCATGGACCACAGAGGCCAGCTGGGAGTTAGGTATAAAAAAATCACACAAGTAGGAAACTACAGAAACTGTGCCGACTGAAAGGGAGCAGGAAACAGGCTAAGCAGAGAGGTGTCCTGCGGATACAGAGCTTAAAGGCACTTGTATGCATATCGCATGTTTAAAAACATCCTTTCACGGATGTACTCTTCAGTACGCCTGTATCTCAGATTGATGGTACTTCAGAACATGCACGGCTGATGGTGACTTACAAAGTTTCCAGCCCGCTAACTGGAATGTATTATCTTCTTACTGCAACTCCCTAACCCGCTAAAAAAACCAGCCTGAGGCCAACGGAGAACACTACAGGTTCCGTGTGGATGTTACCTGCAAAACTCTGAGCCTAGACAGAGCTGGTAGAGAGCCGAACAAGAATCCAACCAAATAGGACTGCTCTTGGAGAAAATACCCCAGTGGAAGGCATCTCCCTGGTTTTCTGAAAACCAGTTAAAAATAAGGGGGGAAATTGTGCTCCAAATAATGAAAGTTCCTTTTCTTGAGTCTTGGTCTTGCCTAAAAATTTCCTTCTCGTTTTGACAATGACTACCGCAGATGATGGAAATAATAACAGCAATGGTTCTTCATTGCTGCCTTGAGACAGGGTCTCATGTGACTGTCTGAGGCTGGCCTCGAAGTTGTGTGGTCAATGGTGACCTTTACCACTGCTCATCCCGTCTCCATCTCCCAAGGACTGGAATTGCAGGTGTGAGAGAAAGGGCTAATCTCCTGGCCCAACAGAGATGACTTCTGAGAGCTTTATTTTCTGAGTGCTTTAACCCTTGAACAGCTCACAAAAGACATCTGTTTCCTTTACAAAAACACGCACTCAAGGACTCAATGTCCAATTTAGCAGATTAGTGGGATACTGCAGATTTCCCCAGGGAGGATCAGAGTCCCATGTTTAGAAGCTCTGCTTACTGCAATGTCTGTTAATGGCTCTGTACTGTGCAGCTCTGTTTCTTAGTGTTAAGTGAAGAAAGAAAGACTGGATGGAAATAAACCTAAAAGAGCAACCAAGCCGCGCTCAAACATCCAGTTGCTGCCACACATACAGTGTTTTATTAGCCAACCTCAGTCTGATGGAACACAAGCCCTGAGAAAGATCACTGCAACAAGGCAACAGACTTCTGTGCAATGATGTGAAAACATTCCAAAATCTGATACCAAAAGGATACATACATACAGGCATCTTAGGGTCTTGTTTACCTTTTAATGATGTTGTATAGGTATTTTAGTCTATGCCTTTTATTATATATTAATAAGACAAAGAATTTTGCATGTCAAATGTAAAAGTTCTGCATTGAAAAAAAAAAAGCAAGAACAAAAATTTTATGTGAGATAAAGCCATGGTTTGTAACTGGAGGATAGAAACCCTGCCCTGTCAGTTTCTGTGTGCCTATCATCACTGCCCCCTACTGGGAGCACACTTAAACTGCAAGGATGGAGAAATTTCCCAAATTGAGAGCATGAGACAGCCTTAGCTTCAAAATAGGAATATGTTAAAAAAAAATCATAACTGCCCAATTGTATAGAAATCCCTTGTTTTCTCTTCTGCCCACACTGAATCTGGTCATTTAATCCCAGCACTCAGGAGGAAGAGGCAGATGGATTTCTGTGAGTTCAAGGCCAGCCTGATCTACAAGAGCTAGTTCTAGGACAGACACCAAAGCTACATAGAAACCCTGTCTCAAAAACAACACAAAACAAACAAAAACAAAAGCAAAAAAAAAAAAAGGACCACCACTTTTGCCAAGATGTAACTATTTCAGTGGTCTATATACCTTTGGACCCTGTGGTCCTGGCCTTGCACCTTCTGAATGACCTTGTTCCCCCTTATCTCCTTGGGGACCACGACTCCCTGGAAGGCCTGGTCTTCCAGCTAGACCTGGTAGTCCCAAAGTTCCTTTTCTCCCTTTAGGGCCTGAAATGAGAACAGATACAGGTAAAACAAGTGAAGGAAGAATCTTAAAGTATCCCATGTATCCCAAGCATTAAGATGTTTTTCACAATTCTAAGCTATATAATGTATGATTATTATAGAACATACGGAGATTCTTATCACTCATATCTAGACCTTTGTCTAAAAGCAACACTTAGTAACATAAACTTTCTATTAAACGAACAAAACAATCTGAAACACAGCATGTCTACAGTTTGACTTGTCATGAGCTCAGTGGCTCATAATAGCAGGATCACAGTGTTACCTGGCACACCCATGTTCCCCATGATTCCCGGCATGCCGCCTGGCCCTGGTCCTCCAGGATTCCCACTGCGTCCCATGTCTCCTCTAGGGCCTTGAGAATAAACAGAGTCACTTATGACCCAGCTCCTGGGCTCAGCACATATCTTCTGCTCGCATGAGTGGACAAGTACAGAATTTTCTATTAAATGAAAAACTAGAACAATCCAAGACATAGAGCAGTCTACAGTTCTGACTCATGAGCTTGAGGGCTTGTCATAACAGGATGATAGTATTAGCTGGAGCTCCATGGAGTTGATAAGCACAAAACACCTAGGCTAGCTGGCTAAGCTAGCTGCCCTTTCTCCTTCAGCTAGGGCTCCCCCTAGGACTGGAGACTCACAATGTGGAAAACTGGATAAAGCGAGAGTCCCATTTTTAGACCTGCTTGGAGCCGTCCTAGGACCAACGTCAGCAGAGGCTCCTCTAACCGACCACACAGCAGTATCTCTCTGACAGCAAACTGAAGGGCAATTGCCGTCTAAGTCATCTTGCTATTGGGGTTACTGGGAGGAGGAGAGTACTTTAATAGCTTAAAATTACTTCGCAATTTACAAAAGGAAGATGCAAAAGTGAAAATGACTAGAGCATTAATTAATTTTTGTTGCTGACACATTAAAAATAAAACTTTGAGGGTAAAAATGGAACCACATGTAAGTTATATTTTAGGCAGTAGATGCCAGATACCAAACACCTTTTTGGTTTAATCTAGATCAATGCTAGCTACCAAACCCTTTCTTTTTGGTTTAATTTAGAGCAACTTTCTCCTGGAACACTTTCAGGGTAGAGTTTATGTTTAGCCAAAGTCTAGAAGTATGTTCATTACAGTTCAGTCTAGGAAAGCTTAGAGAATGATGTTTTTATTGAAGAGTTAGCCTTACCTGGAGGGCCTGGAGGCCCAGGCAGTCCCTCAAAGCCTTTCAGACCTGGTAACCCTGGAATGCCTCTGTCTCCTTTTTCACCCGGATTTCCTACAAATCCTAGAGTTAAAGAACAAATTTTAAAGACATGTGTCAGTTGTAAAGCATGTGTCTAAAATTCATGAGGCCCTGGGTTTCACCCGGTGAGAAACAAACTGGAAGCATCTCAGGCTCACTCTCATCCTGGTCTAAACTGATAGGCTATTGACTAATGCAACATCACACATTTATCAAGAGCACGGGGAAGCGTGGGCTTCTGGCTTTTTTGTCTGCTTGTTTTTTTAAGAGGAGCCGAATACACTAAGATGTAGGAAGTATTAGCATAGCGTCTGCCTTGAGACAGTTCTCCACCAACGATGGCAACTGTCATCATGAGATGCATTGCAGTGATGTTTAAAAGGTTGGAGTGTAGCTCAGTAGTAGGTCCCTTCCCTAATAATATGACAAGGCACTGGGTTCAATCCCTAATGCTGTAAACAACCATAAGGTATTTTAAGATTTTGTAGCCAAAATACCTCTTCATTTTTATAGTCAAACAGTATACTGCCCAATTCTTATATAAACACTTCTACCCTCAGTCCATTTGTTAAGCTTTACTAGGCATTGTGTAGGTCAAAGACCCTGACGTGACTCATACTGTCACTCAGCAGTAGCACTGAACGTAGTCTTGCATGGCTAGGAAGATCACTAACGTTCCAGGACACCCTTTAGTCCCTAAAACTTGACTTTGATTGATTTATTCCCCTGCTTGTTTTTATCCACAGATACTCTTTTATCAGCAACCCATTACGAACTTCCTCAACTGCATGGAACATTCTACAGCCTCTCCTTGGCCTGGCTTTGTGCCTTTTCCCGCATATACACTTCCATCCTTGTGGATTTAGTGTCTAATTAACAGACAAGTCTGGTGCTGTTTGCTGGAAATAAACATAAGTCACGTTCTTCTTCCCAGGTTTTCAGTGCTTAATTGAGGAGACAGCCAAGCAACAGGCAATTGCTGCACAGTGAGATTCGTTCTGTAATGCAGCTGGGCACCGTGGACAAAAGGGAGGCTTCCTGGAAGGGGTTCTGTTTTGTGGCTCAGCCATGAAGACACGAAGCTAATTGGATGAAGAAAGTGTGGGATGAGACAGGATTTCCAGACTAGACAATAGCCTGTGCACAGAAAGGAGTGGTGAAGGGGTGAGGTTGTTTCCTCCTTCGGTTTTCCGTTGATCATCATCTAAGAATGTGTGCTGTTCAATGCCTGTGTTTGCTCTCGCCTGCAGGCTTGATTTCTATTCATTCATCCATGCAAGTGCTTATTTTAGATTTCACTCAGTATCATTGCATGTCTCTCTGTGTAGTTGTGCATGGGTGTTTATAATGAACCTGTGTGCGTGTGATTGTGTTACTGCCTGTGTCTGGAGGGCAGGGTCTTTCTTTCAGTCTTCGTGTGGTTCTTCTCTGAGGTCTCTAGGTTGACATGGCAAATACTTTCACCACTAGAGTTATCTTGAAGGCCCTGGCTTGATTTTAGATGGCTAGAGACCAAAGGATGGTTTGTAAAACTGTAACAGTATAACAATGTAAATTATTAGAGGGGTTATAAGAACAAATAAAGTCAAAGAAAGTGTACAATAGAGCCCTCATGAGACCACAAAGCCTAACATTTACTACTTGGGTTGAAACAAGGTTGAGGTTCCACTAATGTTTATTTCCCCCAACTAAACTATAAGTTTCACTATTACCAGGAAGCTGTACCTATGTATTCAGAATAGAATAAAATGCCTAACACAGAAACATTAAAAAGTAATATAGACTTGGCATGTTTCTGGAGGCAAGATTTGTACACAGCTTAAGGAGGTTGAGTTCTTTCTAATGCTCATTATTTTTAATTTCACATATGAATACAATGTTTCTAGATATTGTACACCACTCCTCCCTTACTTCAACAACTACTGGATACACTCCTCCATCCATAACCTTCTCCCACTTCCTCTTCTTTCTCCTCCTCCTCTTCCTTCTTCTAAAATAACCCCTTGGGTCCAATTAGTTCTCCCCATGTATGTATAGGTCTTGGCTACATCCCCTGGAACAAGGGTAAGCTGTCATGGGCCACGCCATTGAAACAAAACAAAACAAAAAGCAACTGGCCCCCTGTCTTGAAATTGCTAATTTGATACAACCTAGAGTCACTTGGGAAGGGAGAAGCTCAACCGAAGAATTGCCTTGATTGGATTGGTCTGTGGCCATGTCTGTCAGACATCGTGGTTGAGGTGGGAGGGCAGAGCTTTTCACTTTTCATGGGTAATAAACACCATCTCTAGATATTTTGTTCTGGGTTATATAAGAAAAATAACTGAGCACGCCAGAGAGGAGCCAGTAACCATCATTCCTCCATGGCTTCTGCTTGGTTTCTTCTTGAGTTCCTGCCCTAACTTCCCTTAATGTTGGATTGTGACCCGGAAATGTAAGCAAAGTAAGCCATTTCCTCCCCGTGTTGCCTTTGGTCAGAGCAAGTTAGAACATTCTCCTTCTTCCAGTGACCACCAGTTGCCAGAAGGTCTTCAGCTAGGAGTGGAAGCCTCAGAAAGACTTGGAGCCAATAGTTACTTGCTTGTCTGAATTACACTCACAAAACCTTTTTTTTTTTTTTTTGGAGGCTCCCCTTGCTATTGCATTTGCTGAGTTTTCTGCTTCCCTCATCTCTCCAGTGTCTGTGGTCCAGACACATGGCAGCACACCCAAAGAAGGACAGGTATGACCACTGGAACCAGCTGCTGCTTCTCACAGGAACACTGGATAAACACACTGGATAAGGGACTTGACCTCTCAAGTCCTATGTATGAAATGAGATTAGCAATGGCCGCCTGATTTCTCAGCCACATATGATCTTTCTCCACCAGATCCACCTCCTTGGCTTACTATGAGATTGAGTTAATATTTATCAAACCTACGGTAGTACCTGAACATGACATATAGACCTTGGCTAAAAAGTATAATATTTCTCATTTATGCCTTACATTGTTCATGGTTTTTTGTAGATATGTCTATTTCCCATGCAAGTTTCTCAAAGTAATACAACCACCACTGATTTGTATCTTCCATGTCTCCTCCACATCTGGAGTGAATGTCTCTGTGTTTAAAAATCACATTTAAAAAAAGGAGGTTTGTCCTGGCACACCAGTGCTCAAGAGGTTTACATCAGGAGAATCTTGAGTTTGAGACCAGCCTGGACACACAATGAGTTCAGGGTCACATGGACTATATAATGGGGTCCTGTCTCAAAAACAGATTTTTAAAAAGTTGATTGTGCCGATATTAGAGAGGCTTAGATAATATGTTCCCTTTTGCTGTTCTTGAATCTGTGATCCTCAGCTATATGCTGAAAATGCTGTGACAACATACACCTTCACCACTCTGCTTAAGTAAATGACAAAAAGTTTTTCCTTTCTCAAAAATAATTTGGCCACCTGAGTGACTCTTTTAAGAAGAAAACAATATTGTTTACCTTACTAAAATGACTTTCATAAGACTATTTTCATGCAAGAATGTAAATTTACATTGAGCAGATTCCCCTGCAGACCCTAGTCCACCTCCTTTTTTAATCGCCTGCTCCCACCAGCCCTCTTTGTTTCCTTAGGCAGCTTTGCATATAATTTCTCATTCCATGAACACTATATGATGGCGTGGATCCGCACATGAGAGAAGCATACGGCATTTGTCTGAATCTGAATGCACTTAATGTAATTCTTATTGGTCACTTCCATTTTCCCACAAATGACCTCACTTTGTTCTTCTTTATGCCTCTGAAAAGAATTGCGCTGTGCACATACACCACTTTCTCTGTGTCCCTCCCTGTGTTAAAGGGCTCCTAGATTGCTTTCAACATGTGATGCTCTGAACATTGCTGTGTGAGTTTCATAGAAATAGATGTCATATTTACATAGACTTAAAAATCTGGGCTTTGAGGTATCTGATTAAAAAAAAATCAGAACCTGGAAACAACTTAGATGCCCTTCAAATGAAGAATGGATGAAGTATGGAATATATACATATTAGAGTACTACTCAGCAGTAAAAAACAAGGACTTCTTGAAGTTTGCAGGCAAATG